AACCGGAATTATCTTCCGGAGGGCAGGCCCCTGGTAGGACAGGCTTTCCCTGCCAGGTGAGTGTTGTGGGAGCCCATCGGGATCAGTGTACCAGCTGGCACAGTTGTGAGAGGCTGGGTTTGGCTTCAGGGAATTTTTGTTTTCGAAGACTCTTGCAACGTGTCTGCCCATTCCATGACGGGTGACGTACGAGCGCACCACAGCGCGCCGAGTGTTCAGCTGTTTCTGACCGAAAACCAGCGTGACCCCTGCGGCCCCACCCTCCCTGTCCACCGGATCTCACCCGAGCGACTCTTGCTGTTTCCCCGGGTGAGAAACGTCCTCAGAGAGAAACACTCGGTCCACGTGGAGGAGGTGAGACAAACAGTGGCAGAAGCACCAGAAGACATCAAAACCAATGAGTTCAAGAAGCATTCTGAGCAGTGGAACAATGTCTCCACAGGTGAGCTGCATCACAGGAAGAGTCCTTTGAAGCTGGCTGGAACTTCACCGTGTAAGAATACACAATTTCTTATAAATAAATGCTGGTTTTATGCTGCCCCCCTTCCATACAATGGAATACTGTCTAGCCTTAAACAGAAAGGAAGTTCTGACATGTGTTGTCACAGGGGTCAGCCTTCGACACATGACACTGGGTGCACTGAGCCAGGGGCAAAGGACCAACACCGTACGGTTCCACTCAGGCAAGGCGGCCAGAGAGGTCAGCGTCGGAGACGGCGAGGCACGGGGGCTGCAGGTGCTGGGGAGGGGGCTGCGGGGGCTGGGGAGGGGGCTGCGGGGGCTGGGGAGGGAGGCGAAGGGGAGTCGGTGTTTCACGGAAGCCGAGTTTTTGGTCTGAAAGGCGAGGAGGGTCTGTGGACACATGGCGGCGACGGGGACAGAGCCGGAAGGCTCTCCGTACCGCCGGCCGGGGCCCTTAGGTGTGGTGAAGGCGGCAGACCCTAGGCTCCGTGTCCGGCGCCCCGGGGCTGCACCTGAGGGCGTTAAGGGAGGACGGGGATCGCGGCCCCCTCCCGGAGAGAGCGGCGCCCTGGGGAGGGTTTCCTGCTCCCGGAGTGGCTGGCAGGGGCGCTGGCGGGAAAGGGAAAGATCGGGACAGCTGCGAGGGTGCGGTCGGCCGTCGGAGGCCACAAAGGAAGACCCTGGGCCTCGGTTCTCTGCGCTGCTGCTCAGCTGCCAGCCCGCTGTGACGCTCGGGTCACGGCTCAGCCACAGACACGCCGGGAAAACTTCGGCGCGGACCTGACCCCTCCTTTGCATGTTAGCAGCGGCCAGGCCCTGGCACCCTACCAGCGGCCCTTCCTGGGCGGGCGCGGGAGAGCTGCACGGTGTGGCCCGTGTCTTGCCGGACCCCCCCCCTCTGCTCCCGCCCCGGCGCAGGGCGGGCCGGTCCCGGGACGTGGCTGTCCCGACCGCAACCGCAACTGTCTCGCCCGCCTGTGAGTGCCCTCTGCTCTCCACCACGGCCCGCGCCTCTCGGGCGCACGGGGCGGGGCTGCAGGCCAGAGCCCACAGGCACGAGAAGCAGACGGCAGCCTCTCGGTCCCGGACACGGCGGGTCCCTGGAGCCGCCCGAGGCCAGCCGGCCTGCGGGGGGACGCCGCCGTTCAGAGTGCTGATTCGTGCTGAGTTTGTGGTGTTTAAACACGGGCATCTTTTTTCACACGACTGCTCCCCAATCAACCCACACCCCCTTGCACCTGCGGCAGGGGTTTTAAGATTAACCTCCAATAACCTGCTTCGGCTCTGATGTCGCAGCTTGCGGAGACAGCCCGCCCCTCCAGCGCGCACCCCGGGTGCCCGCCGCCTCTGACGGCTGGCCGGGATGCGGCCGAGGCCCTGCCGAGCAGCCCCCCTCCGTGCTGCCCCTCAGGCACGATGCCTGCAGGGGCTAGTGAGTCACCCGCACGTCTCCCCACCGGCAGCTCTCGGGAGTGCGCCACAGGACGGTCCGAGACAAACCAACCGAACACCCTTTCCCCTCTCGAAGCAGGACAGGAAATGAAGCACAGGAGTGCGGTCCTGTTCCTCTTCGTGTGGGTCCTTCAGTTACGAGACTTGGATTTCAGGGCACTAGCTCCTGGTCCTTATGGCGAGAACCGCCCCAAAGTGAAACACCAAGAGCCTGGACCCGCCCCCCCCCCGCGGCAGGCGGAGACCAGCGCCCGTGGAGCTCCCGGCGCTGCCCACCCTGGCCGTGGGCGGCCTCCCACTCGCCGGGGGAGCCCCGCGGTCACTGGGAACCCCTCCGCAGCTGCCTGCAGGCCTACCACCCGCTGCGTCTTCGAGTCGGGCACCTGAAGGAGTCCAAAGCAGCTCGTGCTCTCTTCCTGTCTCCTCTGCTCTGAAGGGCATTTTGGGACTGTGCTCAGGAAACCATCTCATCCGAGCCGGTTCCTCTTCCCGGAAGGGTTAGGGATGAGAGGCAAGCCGCCCTCTGCGGGACACCCTCGGCGCCCAGGCCCCAGGCCCCAGCCTCTCCGCCCTGTGGGCAGAGGGCCCCCACACCGGCCTCGGCCCCTGCGCGGGGCCCACCCGGCCCTGAGGGCTCCGGGCTGTGTGCTGTCCCTGCCACCATGTGGTCCCAGGCACAACCGAGCTCGGACGGCCCCTTTCCAGGTGACCTCTAGGTGATCTCTAGATGCCTGCCGCTTCTTTCACGGGAAAGTCTCACCCCCCCCCCCCCCGCCCCCAGGCCCCACGCCACCTCCATGCCGATTGTCCCCACTCGTCTGCGGTGCCCAGTGGGCTGCGGATGTCAGACGGGCCCCACCCACGACCACACGGACGACGACCGCCACCCACACGTCCAGAAACAGGGCCGCACGCGCCCACCTCGAGCTGGGCCTCCCCGCTCGCTCCCTGTCCCCGATCCAGGCCCAGGGCCCGCAGCCACGCTTCCAGCAGCCCCGGACTCTGCTGCCCCTGCGACACTGCCGCCCCGGGCCGGCCCTCACCCCTGCTCGGCTCTACGCTGGCACACCCTCCCCGAGACCCTGGTCCTAAGGGCTGCGGAAAGCCCCCAAGTCCCAGGGGAACCCGAGGAGCTGCGCCCAGAGGCCAGGGAGAAAATGGGTGGGGGCAGAAGGAGTAAACGCAGCTCCCACGGGGGAAGTGGCGGCAAAGCCCAGGGTGAACGAGGCTCAGAAAACCCCCCGCCCTCGCCCAGGGTGGTCTGGTAAGGGGCTGGGAGGGGAAGGGGCGGGGGGTGGGGGGGGAGAGGCACGCTGAGGCTGGGAGCAAGTTCTACAACCAAGGCCATTCTGGGTCTCTTTCCTGCCCCCCCCACCCTGGTGCCCTGGCCTCAGCCAGCGTCTCCCCACGGCTGGGGTCTCTCCACCGCTCTGTGCAGCCCGTCCTCGTCCTCCTCCTCGGGCTGGAATCCCCTGCCGAGCCGCCCGACCCAGCTCCCCCCGCCCCAGGGCCTGAAGGCCCAGTGAGCACTGCACTGCGTCTTATGTTTGGCTGTTTCCTAGATGCTCAGAACAGTGCCGGGTGCAGAGTAAAAACTCAGCAAACATTTCCCAACTGAAGGACCTGGGTGTGTCCTCAGGGTCTCCTCAACACACACTGTTTATGAGACAGGCTGATGGCCCCCCCACACAGAGCTTCCTCAAGAGCCCGCCCCTCCAGCACGCCCCAAGCAATGCCCCCTCCGCCACCCGCCAGTGAGCCGGGCCCTCCGTCCTGGCCCAGGCCCTGTGTCCGTGGCTCTGCTCCCCGGTCTCCGGCTCTGCTGCCCGGGACCCTGGCAGGGACCAGTTCACTGCAAAAGGAGGAATCTGACCAGGGGTCCTACCCACCCCCAGTCCCCGGATGTGGGGCCGTGATGGGTCATGCTGTTTCCTCATGAGCTGTGTGGGCACCTACGATACTGGCTGAACCTGCACAATTTCCCGAGTAGTTCTTTGCAGCTCACTAGTTAGCTAACTGGATCACCGATATTCAATGCCATCACCCAGTCCCTGAAATGGATTATGAGGAAGACGAACCCCGATGAATCATCCAGAAACACGCGCATTATTCTGCAGTTGACAATAATGGTTCGGTAAAAATCAATTCCTCCAGAAAAGACAGGCATGGCCAAGTCAGGTTATGCATCTGGGGACGGCACTAGAGAAGAGTCCCAGACAGAGGTGGCCTGGGCCCTTTTTTCGGACTCCATTCATTCCTTCATTTAATTTCTTCTCGAGCCTTTCCCGTGCGAGGCGCGCTTCTGAAGGCTGACGACTCGGAGACGAGTGTGCGCTTACACCCCCACCCTGAGCGGCACGGCCCGCGGGGCGCGTGGCTGGCTCACGCGTGGCCTGCACCCACAGTTCTCAGAGCGGGGGAAGGGCCCCTCCCCCACGGTGCGCGGGCTGGGCACGCAGCTAACTCGCTGCATGGCATTTCTCGTTCAGAGCCTACTTCACAGAATTTTAATTTACTTAAAATGACAACGCACTATTTACACCCAAAACTTGATACTGAAGAAGGTGCACACGTATCCTCACACAGACGCTAAGCACACTGGGAAAACAGGGCAACGCAGTTCTGTGGTAGGAACCACCGCGGACATTCAGACCGAGCGCACGCACTTCTTCGGGAAGCGCGGAGGGGAGGAGGGGAGGAGGGGAGGAAAGGCCTTCGGAGCGGGGCAGGCGGGCGGCCTCCGCGGCGGGACAGCTGGCTGCCGCCTCCGGGGAACTGGGGAGAGCGCCTCCCCGGGACACGGGCGCCGGGGAGGGAGGAGGATGTCACCGGGCGTGCGCCATTGAGAGCAGCTACCTGTCCACACAGTGTGCGCTGCGACGGGGATTCTACAGGCCAGCCCCTCCCCCCACACCCCCACCCCCCAAAAAGGAAGAGCATCAAGAAAAAAAAGACCCAGAGAAAGATCCGGGCACTGAGCGAGGGTGACAGAGTGGGGAAGCAGCGTGGAGCTCTGCATCAGCCGGCAGGTCCCACTGGCCGACGCCGCAGCCCAGGGGGCGGCGTGACCCACCAGTGCCCCCTACCTGCCCCGTCCGGTAGTGCCGGGCGAACTGGCTAACCACGCGGTAGTCGTTGGCAAAGTACTCCATCAGGACAGAAGGAACCTCAGCGAAGTCGGTGGGGCACCTGGTCCCTAAAATGTGGGGAAAAGAAAGAAAAAGTTGGCAAGAATCAAATCAACATATTTATCTTACTTTTTACATGTTCTTTTAAAATTTTTATTTGTACTTCTGATGAACTATGATAAGTTTTAATTCATTAAATCAAGATTTTATTTCTATAAAATCAATGCACATATTTGCATAAAAGTTTATTATAATCCTACATGTTTTCCTGTATATCGAAAGTAAAAGAAAATATTTGCACAGCTGGATAAAACACCTTGTGAAGCAGTGACTCAAACCCTCTACAAACAAGCCTGTCTTCAGCTATGCTGAGCTATACGTGAAATGCACATTAAACCATTCTGACATTTGATATAGCATTTGTATTTAATTCACTGGGTTCCACCACCAAAAACTTTTAGCCGTCATTTCTTTTAAAAGAACTTCGTTTTATCCATGGATTGTTTCTTGCAACAAAGTCAGCCCTCAGTGCAGATGGAAAGCAAGAGTACTCAAAGCAACAAATCCCGTAAGAACTTTTTCAGTGACGTTTTATGCTTCTGTCTGGCCCTTTCACAGTCTTCTCACTTATCTTCTCCTCCCCCCCACCCCCCCACTGTGTGAGCGAAGTCAGTTAATCAGGAGGGGGCGGGAACGACGGGCCAGGGGTGGAAGGCAGACCAAATGGACAGCGTGCCGTGCAGAGGACCTCGAGGGAAGTCCACCGTGCCACCAGGTGCGGGCACAGGTGAGCAGGGAAGATGGAGTTCACACAGGGGGAAGTGCAAGAAAAATAAAAACTAATGTATCGCACTCTTTCAGCATGCTTTTAATGTGTTTCATAACTGATTTTGGGGGAAAAAAGGCAACATGCATTCACTTACTCTGTGCTAGGCACTAAGAAAATACATATTTATGAGGGGGAATCCCAAAAACCCAGAGTGCATTTATAAAAATTGTGTGTTCACTCTCACAGGTTTAAACTTCAGTCAGCTTCGAGTGCTCTCCAGTGGATGTAGTACACCTACTGAGACTTTCTTCCACTGCTCAAAACATGTTCTGAACTCACCGATCTTGACACCTTTTAGTGCTTCTGCTATTTTTTTGTTTTCACCTCTTCCACGTGGACAGTACTTTCCCTTGTAAGGACTTTTCTCATCAGGGAAACAAAGAAGTCACCCAGGGTGACATTGGATGAACAGGGAGGGTGGGGCATGGGGGTCTTGCAGTTTTTGGTCAAAAACTGCTGAACACCCAAGCATGGTGTGGGCAGACGTGCTCGTAAATCACCCACCCTGAAACGGGCAAAAGCATTAAGTCTTCAGAAACAGTTCACTGAAGCCAGGGCGCAGCCTCTCACAACACTGCCAGCCGGTCCACGGATCCTGATGGGGTCCCAGAGCACTCGCCTAGCAGGGGAAGCCTGTACCCCCAGGGGCCGCCCTCCAGAAGATAATTCTGGGGTTTTCTTGGGTCCCCCCTTGTACTCGCATACACGCTGAGCCTCAGCTGAAACTTACGAAGTATAAAATGTAAAATGGCACAAACTCAGCAGACAGACCCCTGAGCTTACCCCTCAGAGAGGAGGGTCGGCAGGAAGAAAAGAAGGGTGAGGGACTGGGCTGCACAGCAGTTGGAAGGACAGGATGAGGCGACCTGGGGTTAGCGACCACAGGACAATGTACTGACAAAGGGTCAGGTTTCCTGCAGAAAGAGCTTCCTTCCCACTCGAAGTGACACGCAGGCTCCCCAAGAGCCGCGCGGAGCGGAAGCGCCCTCCGGGGCTCACCGGTGGTGTGCTGGTAGCGGGTGCGCCCCAGCATGGAGTGCATGGCGTGCCCCATCTCGTGGAACAGGTTCTCCATCATCCCCGGCGTCAGCAGCGTCGGCGCGCTCCTCGAGGACGGGGGGAGACTCAGCATGAGGACCACCACGGGCAGCTGGTAGTCCCCGTCCTCCTTCAGCCGGCCCCCGCGGATCGTGAAGTGGCAGTCCTTGAGAACCAGGGGCAGGGCGGAGGGCGGCGTTAGGCAGCGTCAAGGGGAGAGCCGTCTCAGTGCACACACCACCGTATCAAACAAACTGTGCTCTCGGGCTCCAGTTTTAACTTGACTCTGTTCTTACTCCATTTAGTAGTGACAGACGCAAAGTCCTCTCAGCCCTTCGTGGTGCTAACACGTTACCTTTCAGAACCACCACCGATACGCTGAGCTACTACGTGGGTTAGTCCAAGCACTCCGGGACCCTGTGCCGGGCGGGCGCTGCACCACGTGCTGGGCACGCCGCCCTCACGGAGCAGAGGCCCGCGCCCCCCACGGTCACAAGCCCTCAGGGACCGACAGACACTGGGCTCCTGAGGGTGGGGGAGGACTAACGTGCACTGAGACCCGCACGGAGCCAGCAGACGCCCTCCGCGCCCCTCGTCTTCACCACTCGGAGCTCTCACCTCGCGCAAAGCGAGGGGTCTGTGCAGCTCCTGGGACGGGCTGAGACCACCTACACTTACTGCTGGTTCTTCACAACCACCCACGGGGCAGCTCGGAAGTCAGGGGACACTGCCACGCACCCAAGGACGCTCGGCGAGGCTGGCTGCCTCCCGGACGGGCACCTGGGGGACCCCAGGAGCCAGCGCTCCTGGTCACTGCCCTGCCCCCCACCAGCCGTCCAGGCGGGGAGGGAGAGCCCGGGACTGGGCATCGGGCGACCGAGACCCTGGGCCCACCTCGCGCTCGGACCGGCATGCCCGTACAAGCGTCACCGCTGCCTCGTCGGAGTGAGGGAGAGACCACGTTCACCCGAGTTTTGTTACGGCACGTGGTTTGACCGGCCCGGCCCACTGCTGGGGGTGGTTACCCTCTCACAATGAACCAGACTTCGTCCCAGGTGTGCATGTGCAACACCAAGTGCAGCACAGACGGGGGGCGGGAGTGCTATTGGTGGTTTCGGGCATCCACTGGGGTTCTGGGACGGCCCCCCACAGATAAAGAAACCACTGTATCTTCCGCAATGTCCAGCCAGGCCCACCGATGAGTGCAGGAAGTGACCAGGAGCTGTGGCTCTGGCCAGAATGTTTGGGTTCAAATCCCAGCACTTCCAGCTGTGTGATGCAGGGCAAGTAACCTAACCTCTCTGGTCTCAGTTTCCTCCTAATGTCAGTGTCTGATTCAACAGGTTGAGGTGAATGTTCGAAAGTAGGAAACGACATAAAAAGGCTAATGAAGTGCCGGCCATCACCATTACTGTCACCGTCACCATGACTCGGACAGAAGTGACCTGTACAGACGCGTGTGATGGCTTTCATGCTGCTTCTGTTTCAATTCTGCGCTGACTTCAAATTTCCACCTCCAGTAACCAGTGTCAGCGCCGTCTGGTCAGGGGACCACGCCGGAGAGCGCCCTAACGCTCACACGTGCACCAACGCGAGCTGGCCACCTCCAGGGAGACCGGGGGGGGGGGGGGGTGGGGAGCGGAGCGTCACCTGGTGCGGCTTGCCCGCCCGCTGGAAGAAGTCGCAGTAGATGTGGCCCAGCAGTCCCTCCGTGTCGTGCACCACGGCCTGGAAAAGACGGGTGCGGTTTACCTGGGAGGGTCCCCGAGAGGCTCTGCCGTGGGAGAACACCCCCACCCGAGTCTGCCCGAGGCCCGGCAGAGGGCGTCTGCAGGTGTGAGCGCGTGACCCAGGTCTCCCTGTGTGTCACCATGCATCAAGGTCGTGTTACTTCCCACACCAACGGCTGCGGCCTGCGTGTGCCCGCCCACGGACGAGTCGCGCACCGCGGCGGACACCGACATTTCGGTGCTTTCTCCCTCCCGAGCCGTCTCGAGACAGGCCCCGTTTTCTCCTCAGCTCTCGGAGGGTTCGAGGAGGCCCGCCACCCTTGCTCGGGCCCTTCGCCCTGCCTGCCTGCTCCCCGCGACACCCCCATGGTCAGCGAGATGGCCGTGAGCAGCGGGCCGGCGGTGCGGCCCAACGGGGCTCGCATCCTGGGGGGCGCCCACCCCCTGCAGGCTGCCCTCTCCCCGTCTGTCACCGCCGGCGCTTCCTCCCACTGCCCCTCCTCCCGCCGCACCTCCGCGCCCCGCCGGTCGCTGCCGCTTCTGAAGGGTGTTCCACGCAGACAGAGGAAGCCCCGGGTGGGGGAGCTCCGTGCCCCCACTCGAGCTGCCAGTCCCTCCGCCTCACGATCCCGTGCGGGCACAGCCGGGGACAAAGGGACGGTGTTCGTTTCTGGAGACACAGCAGCGAGTGCACAGCGTGGTGGCATGGAAACAGCACGTGAGATGCGTGAGCACACGAAGTCTCCGTGACAGCCACGGGCCGACAGCCCTCAAAACCCCACAGGAAAACGTGGACGCACTCAGGCCCAAGCACGGCGGCCCTAGTGGGAGGTGGGCGGAGTCCGGGCCAGGACGGTGTCGCCCCGGAAGTCGCGGCAGCCCCAGGACTAACTGAGTCTGATGCTGACGGAGCTCCCGCAGACACAGAGCTGCCGCAGACGGGGCGGCGTGGAGGGAAGGAAGGTGACCGGTGCAGCGGACGCGGGGAGCGCCAGGAGGGACCCGCACGCGGCTCGGCTGGGATGGAAGAGACTAATTTCCTTCCACCACCACTTGTCGGGGTGCACGCCCGACCCCCGAAGGCTCCCGGACGCTCTCCCTCCCGGAGAACTGAGCCCGCAGCTGCGCTGGCGCCCAGCCCCGGCACGGACCGGCTGCCGAGAGCCAGGTTTCCTCCATCCAGGGCCCGGTGTGGGAAGTGGTCGTCCGGGGTTTCCGTGAAACGGGAACAAGGGGAGACCCTCTGCCCGGGCGAAGCCACCCGACAACAGGGACCCCCCCTGCCCCCGACAGAGCGAGAGGGCCCGGCTCGGACCGGGAGGACGCTCACCAGCTTCCGGACGTCCTCGCACCACACCTCCCCCTTCGCGGGCGGCTCGGCGAACAGCGAGATCCCGAACAGGCTGTGGAACAGGACGCTGAGGCCATCCATGCAGGCGCCGAGGGAGAAGAACGGGCAGTATATGCTGGGCTCGATGTTGTACCTGAGAGAAACAGCACAGGTGAAAGGCATTTCTGTCTGCTTCCATTTCTTAAGGCAGACTCAGGGACCTTCCCATGTACAATGCAGAATGGTACTGGCGATCTGAAATGGGTTACAACAGAAAGGTGGTGTGACGCCACCTTTGGAGGGAACGCCAGACTCGGTTTTCTGCAGAGGAGCAGTCCGCGTGTTGCCGGTCGTGCGCGACCTCCGGGCACGGCGGGCGGACCGTCCCCGCGGGCGCCGCCTGCCGCCGACGCGGTTGGGCCGTCCGTCGCCCCCGCGAACCGCACTGCACACAGTTCTTACCTTACACTTACCCGTGCACAAGGTCTCAGCGATGTGAGCTACAACGGCAAACCTGACTTTACAAAACGTGTCACGGTTTAAAGAATTGTGACTTAAATCCCATAAATATTAAACAAACACAAATCCTGACACATACAAAGTCAGCTGAAAATTTATACCTGGTAAAATATTTTCAATGGAAAAATCTCTGTAATGTAAACAATTAAATCTTAATTTACTTGTTCTGCAGTTATACACCGAGGAGCATCTAATGTGTGACATGAATATTCATTCCTGAGTCACTAAGTCAAGCCGAACTTTAGAACCAAAGCCAGAGAGGATGGCTCCAGAGTAACAGTAAGCACCTGTTCTGTCTCCACTTTCCGGGATCAACAAACCAGAGACGCGCACACTAAACACACACAGACTCACGCTCACTACTAGATGGGTGACTGGCTCTAGTGAGCGAGCGTAAACCGCACCACAGACGAGATTCCGGCCTTAGACACCCACAAGTGCACGACTTAGCTGCCGTCAGTGTTTTTGAAGAACGGCATCCCTGTGCGGAGAGACACGCCCGTGGTCCGCTGCCCTCGGACCCGCTCACTCCCGCAGGCGGCGGGCAGACCAGCCGGGCGCTGCAGGTGAGAGCGGGAGGGTCTGCCTCCCGGCAGCTCACGGTGAATGCGGCAGAGACGTGAGCGGACCACACTGTCCCCCACGCCCAGTGCAGCGGGCGGGGCGGGCACTCAATGGACACGGTGGACGGAGGGAGTGGACGGCAGGGACCTGGGCGTGGTGGCGTGAGCTGGGGAGTGGGGGCTGGAAACGGCGAGGGGCCCACAGAAGGACGTCCGGACGCAGGCGTCCGGGGCACCGCAGGGCAGGGGGAGGGGTGGGAGAAGGGAGAAGGGAATTCTGGGCGGGAGCAGCACCCAGACAGCAGCACGAAGACACGCAGTAGTAGCCTGCGAGCTCCCGGTGGCCAGGAGGCAGCTCCACTCCATCCCAGGCACGTGCGATGGGAGGAACAAGGCAGACCCCGGGTCTCTCTCGGCGCGGCTTTGGGCGCCGAGGGGCCCAGCAGCGCCATCTGCCCCTGCAGGGGAGGAGGGCCTCGGGGGCACCAGCGCTTGTTTCGAGGTGAAGGTGGCACTGTGCCCCGACCCCTCGCCTCGTGCACGGGTCCCCAAGTGCCTTCGTGCGATAGAGGACCGAGGAAACCGGAGCTCACGGCTAAGTCTCCACGAGGCAGAGGAGATGGGGAAGGGCCCAGCGGACGAGGAGGAGGGTGGGCGACGAGGACGTGGAGAGCAGGAGGCGGACGGCGTGCACCGAGGAGAAGCGCCCGGAAACACCAGGCGGCAGTGTCACAGCCCCAGAGGAGAGGGGCGTGGTGTGCCGACACAGTCACTGAGTTTTATTGCTGGCAGGTGGCTGACAGCTCCGAAAGGCCGGTCTGAGAGACCGGGGCCGTAAATCTGCGGAGATTAGGGTCCAGACTACTTATTGCTGGGGAAGGTCTGGCAAAAAAGGAAAAAAGAAAAAAAAAAACGCACTGCAATCTCTCCCGGAGTCCTTCGAGGGGTAATTATTTGTGCTCTGAGATAAGGGGTATCTCGGGTCCTCTGCAGGAAATGGGAAGAAGTTAACAGGAAGGGGAGATTAGGGGCATGTTACAAAGAGTCAATGAGGCAAGCCCTGGACTGGTCTGAGATACTGTTATCTTGTATTTGCTCAGCGCTTTACCAACGAACGCAGAGCACTTTCACATCCAGAGCCTTTCACGTCCCTCACCTGGTTCTGCCAGGGAGGCAGGTGGAGCGCGAACCACGACCTGATTTTACTCCAGGAGCCCGAGGCTCAGAGAGGCTCCGGCCCGGCCCGGCTCGTGCAGAGCAGCCCAGGGGAAGAGACCACCTGCGCCAGAACTGAACTCCGGGAGGCCTCTCTCACCGGGTCTGTGCCCGGAACCAGGGCTGGGCCTGCTGGGGCCGCGATTTCCTCGCCGGGAGAACGGGGTGCTACTTCCCAGGCCCGACCGGTGAATGGACGAACGCGCACAAAGCAGCCGGCCCGGTTGGTGCCGGGAGAAAGGCAGGCACTCTGCAAACCACCCGGCCCTGTGAGGGGGCTCGGGCCCCCGCAGGGAGCGCTCGCTCCTGGGCGCCGACCACTGCTGGACGGGAGGTGCTGCGGCCACAGAGGACGGCTGGGCCAGAAATCAGGGAGTGGAGGGCAGGGCACAGAGCGCTGGGGAGCAGCGGTGAGTGAGGCTGTGGCCGATCCCGCCTGCCAGGAGGCCCAGGGTCTGAGTGTGCGGATCAGGGGGAGCTGCTCGGAGGAGGGGGCGTCTGAGGCGGACATGGGAAGGTGAGTTCCCTGGCCGAGGGAGGGGTGTTCCCGGCCGAGGGAGGGGCATTCGAGAAGAGCGAGCACTGGCAAAGGCTCTTGGGCATGACAGCGAACAGGGCATACAAGCTCACTCAAGCAAAGATCTCCTGCTACCTGACTCAGCCACCTCAGAGCCAGGAGGCGATCACACACACCTGCACGCTCCACCCCGCCCTCAGAGACTCTCACGAATGGGAACTAATTCCCTTCCTGAAGAGCAGCCAGAATGGGCAAAGGCTCAGAGGCTGCAGGAGATTCAAAGAGCCTGAAGCTCCAGCCAGCCGCGACCAGCCACCAGCCGGGCCCGAGCCCCCTGCAGGGCGGTCAGTTCCTTACGACAGGCCAGCCGGGAGGCGGCACCCGGCCCATGAGGCCCTTTCACCTCCACGGGCACCTGCAGCACAGTGCGGAGTGATCCGCAGGGCGTTCCAGCGGTCACACAGCCCAGAGCCCCACGACGATGCTGGCCAGCGGCCGCCCCAGCTCAGGACACAGCTGCTCCTGGCCCGGGCGGGGCTGATGAGCGCTGGGACAGTCTTCACAGCACGTCCCCCCCCCCCCAATGCGCCCCCCGGGGCAAAAGCCTGGGCCTGCGCTCTGGCCCGGGATGCTTCCCAGGTCCCCTTCCCAGGTCACCCGTGCAGACCGGCCTGCCGCTCCTTCGCCCACCACTTCCTGACCCGCACAGAACCCAGGTATCGAAGCCCCTCCCCCTACCGGTCGCCCGGAGAGCCCGAACCGACAGAGAAGCACTGAACCACATGGCGGATCTGAGCTGGAGCCGCGGCCCACAGAAGAACGCTTCGGTGCATTTTCAGGATCTCCTCTCACCGCCCTCCCTCTCCCTGCCTCAGACCCCTCTGCAGCTCCACAGCAGAGATCTGCGGCTGTTCCTGCAAACACGCTGCACGGATCTGGGTCTGCAAAGAGCCCTTTGATTACTCCTCCTCAGAAGGAGACAGGAAGAGAATCACTGCTGTCCACCACTGTTGCTAAAGGAAGTTTAGTAAGTGCTCTGCTCTTTGTTCTGCTTAAAAATGTGCTGCATACGGGTTTACAAATTCTCAGTTCCAAACAACCAGATACACTGTAATCAGCGTGGTACAATGGCATCACCACGTCTCAGTGAGAACAACAGAATCCAGCGAGACCTCAACACCCCCAGGAGGAGCACGATCAGGGAAGCGGGTGTGGAAATAATCGATGGGAGATCTCCAGCCAAAGGGTTCTTCGCTGTAACCCGAGTTTAGTTTTCCTCTCAAGCCGGCGCACCGCACGGAAGCACCCGCCGCGAGTCAGACCGGTTTCAGCTCCTGACGCACCTGGGGTGCAGGCAGAGACCGGACCTGGGCGCAGCTCCCGGGACGCTGGCATGGGGCTCGGTGAGCACACCACACACGGCTGCGACCAGGGCTCGAACCCGGGCTGCACAGCCTCTCTCTCCCCCCTCTCGTCCGGGAGGGCAGGCGCGCGGCGGCCTGCCAGACGGAGGGCCTGTGCGCAGGAGGGAGAGCGCAGACTGACCAGGAGCTGCCGGGGGCAACACCGGCAGAGACGCTGTTTTTAACTTTATCAAAACGAAATAAAAGAGACTGTTTTTGGCATCAGAAACGATTATCTAAGCATGATGATAATGGGATCCCTGGGTGGCATTTTGCAATATTTAGTCTGCAAAGCCGCAGGGAAAGCTGCTGTTTCATCTGGGTACAGAAGGGTAAAGGAGCACTGAAGGAACCGAATGAGCTAGAAGCCTGTTCACCCCGCAGGTGCTCACCGCACTGGAAGCAGAGACTGGCTCTGGCCAGCAGGCCGGTTGGCTGGAGCGCCCTCCGGATGCGCCAAGGTTGTGGGTCTGACCCCCGGTCAGGGCACACGCAAGCAGCAGCTGGTGAGTGCATAAATGAGTGGAACGACACATCAATGTTTCTCTCTCTCTCTCTCTCAAATCAATGAAAAAGAAAAGTCTTTTTCCTCTCTGTTTTGTAAAAATTCAGCCACTGCCAGTGTGGTTCTGTCAGGACCTCTGAAGTCTGAGGCGAGAAAACGGCCCCACCCACACCGCCTGGTGATCAGGTGACGATTTCCCATAGCGGTCGATCAGCTACACGGTCCACATGAGACCAGAGCTCACACAAACCCCCACCGAGATGACAAGCGCAGCACAGTGTCCCCCGCGCCCTGGCGCAGCGGGCGGGCCGGCCAGCAGGCTGGCTGGCTTCAGGGCTCGGGGACAGGGAGGGGGCACCAGGCGACGGCCCTGCTCGCAGAGGCTCGGGCCAGGTCTCGGCGCAGCACCGGGACCGCCCCGCCGCTGGACCGGCCTCGGGAAGGACACCGCGTGGGAGGTCGCAGAGCCCGGGCTGGAGCACGGGCGTAAAACAGGACCACAAAGCCGAGGCGGCGGTGGCAGAAGGGAACCACATCAGCCCGCAGGTCCACGGGCAGAGAGGAACCGACTGCACAACAGAGGCCAGCACCAGGCGCCCCCCAGAGAGCCGTGGGCTCCGCGGGGGAGGCCTGTCCCTTCTACAAGCTGGGGCTCAGGGGCGCGGCAGGGCCTGCAGTGCAGAGGCCCGCCCCGGCGTGACAGGCTCTGGGGACAGAGGTGGCGGACTGGGTGGCAGGCCTTGCTGCGGCCCCGGTCCAACAAGCCCAGGGGAAAACACATGTTTGACACCATCGGGGAAACACGAACACAGACTGCCTATGCGATGATGCCAGCAAACTGCTGTGAACTGAGGTGCTGGAGTTACACGGAAACACCCATGTCTCTAGACGTGCACATAATACGCGAGAGCTAACAACATCCATGTCTTCAGACACACAGGGTCAGTGTGTGAGAGTGAGGTGGCCTGAGCTCCAGGAGGCACTTTAAAATACCTCAGTAACACGAGGGAAGGGATAAAAGAGAGAGACAAAAAACGATGAGGCAAATATGGCGAAATCGTGAGTTGCTGTATCGGAGAGAGGAGCGTGTGGAGGTTCCTTATGCTGCTCCTTCTCTGTTCACTCCGCAAGTTTCCCCGGGAAGCGTTATTTGTTAGCGGAAAGCACCCAGCTCACGGCACACACGGACAGAGTGTGCGATGTCACAGCCGCACAGGAGTCCTCGTTCTTCCGAGACGCCGCCGCAGGGCCATCCTGCCGCGGGAGCTCCGCGTCCTGTGAATGGGTCAAAGCACAGCACACTCCTGCTGCGTGGCGTGAGCGCTCTGGAGGTTCAGCGAGCGCACCTCAGCAGGGAACAGACGACACTGAGTTCGACTTCCCAGTGACATCGTTACACAAATCAGCCCCCAAATAATAAAAAAACCACAGTTCCCTGAAGCTCACTAGTGGCCGGAGAGAAATAAAGTCTCCGAGCACTGGAAACAAGAACCTCGGGCCAGCAGACGAACAACGGCTTCAAGAAGGCGACCTCGGGGGCAGGGGCAGGACGGGATTGGGTTTCTCAACGTGAACGCTCTTCAACGTGCTTTCGAGTGTTTGGACCCTGCTAATGTGCTGCCTGCTCAAAAATAAAACGTAATTTTAAATAAAACAATCTCAGTATACTCGTTGTAATTTATTTTTTTTAGAGGCAGGAAGAGCGGGGGAGAGAGAGAGAGGAACAGCACCGTGTGCTCCCACTCGGCTGCGCACCCACCGCCCGTCTCTCGCGTGCGCCCCGCCTGGGGACCAGTCCCACGGCCCTGGCATTTCAGGACCAACTCGCCCTAACCCCCTGGGCCGCCCGCCAAGGGCCGCGCCTTCTACAACTGGAAGAAGTGCTTCTACTTTTCCACGAAGAACTGAGCACCGTAACTTGAAGAAGAAGAAAACGAGCTGCTCTTTAAGATTCACCGTCAAGCCAACTCTGGCAGCTTTATAGGTATCAGTTTCTTGTCTTACTTCTAACAGGCTCTTTCTTTTCTTTAGGCAGACATTTCAGAAACCTAAAGTAAATCTAAGATGTTTAATATAAACCAAGAAAAAAGAAGAAGAAAAAAAAAAGGACAAAAGTCTCGGGGTTAACGCCGAGAACAGCTCACGCCCAGGGAGCCCCCTCCCGCTCTGGTGCACGTCACCCGGCACCCGCAGGCCTGCCGTGGGGAGGAGAGGAACTTAATTAACAAGGATTTAGGAATCTTCACTTTGTTCCACTCCTCCGACCTCACACCCAAGCCGTTTTCTCCTCCTTTCCTCGCCCATGACCTGTGCTTCTCAGAATACACGAGTCCATCAAGACTATTGCACCTTCAAACCAAACGCCACCGGTTGCCTTTCAAGCTCCTCACAACGGATGGTTTAACCCCCAGTCCTTACAGTCCCTCCTCCTGGCTCTTTTCCTGAGTTAGCAGGGAAACACAGGAACGCGTTCCGAGACCCTAGTCAAACCAGGTGGCGCCCCCAGTGGCCGCCAGGCCGCGGCGCCACGCTGCTCCCGGGAGAGCTGCCGGCCTCCCGCTCCAAGCACCACACCCGTGGGAACCCCGTCAACCAGGGGGCACCACGCAGACCTCCAGAGGGCCCCACTGCTTTCACTGAATCCGACCCATGAAAAATGTCATTCACAAAATGTGATATTCTCTTACAAAAATGTATCACTGGGTTGCTTTTACTTAGTAAGAACTTCTAATCGCTGGCGTAGACACAGGCTTGAACAAGGGCTACCCACCGCTGCCCCAAGAAGGAGTACACCTGCCAAAACGGACCCCTTGCGGTTAACGGGGCCCAAACTCACGATCAGAGTCCAGAGCCCTGGCTTGCAGGGGCGTCTGGTGCACAGGGGACCGCAGATGGCCGCCGCGCCTGCTGCACTGCCTCCCTACCACCTGGGCCAACCTTCATACAGGAGTCTGGGGGCTGTGTGTTAACTGACCCGCCCCCTGCACAGCTATAGCTTCATCTGCATCTCTACCAACCAGAGGGGCTCCACAACAACCAATCAGAACAGTGTTATGTGGACCAATCAGACTGTGCAAATCTGGATTCCTCATCTGCATAAAAGTGGACCAATCAGAGACCAGAGCGGGCACTTCCTCTACATAAGCAGGGTCCCTTTTTCAGGGGTGGGGGTGCCCACTTTTGGAGGCTGTTTCCCAGGACTGCAAACGGCTCACCTGAATGAACTCTCTCCTCTCACCGCTCACCTGAATGAACTCTCTCCTCTCACCCCGCCCCGTGCCGGGGGCTCCTGCTGACGTTGGGCTGGCGGCAGCAGCAGCGGCCTTTAGTCCACACGAGCAGTACGCAGTTCCCGAGAGCCCTAGGTCTGCATCCTGCATTCCACCGCGGACAAACTTGTTCTTAAGAGCTTGGAGCCCCGGCCGAGAAGACACGTCTAACAGAGCGACCCCAGGGCCCGCCATCTCTGCAGGCCAACCGTGCAGCACGCAGGTTGTGAGCGGGGTGGGGTGGGGGTGGGAGCGAGAGCTCGTGGGCCAGGGCGGGCTCTGGCTAGTGCGGCTCGCTGCTGGGTCCGAATGTCATTTCAACCCCTTAACTGTTAAAGGGTAGCTGCGTGTATCCAGCCCTAAAATTACTGCAGCCCGTTGAAGGCCACCGTGAGGCTGACGTGGGCCCCGGTGAACATGGGTTTGACGCCCTGTCCTAGAAGGATGCCCGCAGACGGCCAAGTCCATGCAACAATGCTGTTTCATTCACCCCGACTGATGGCGCAGGGACCACAGCGACCCCCTCTGGTAGACAGCCTCGCTAAGAGACTCAGAGAGCACGCGTGCCTCCCCACAGGCCGTGTGCAGCTCCCTCCCCGAGGGCAGAGTGTGGTGACCTAAACTGCAAAGGCTGGCCGGTGCCGGCCGCCGGCCGAGGGGCTGACCTGGAGGAGACCCAGGCTTGCAGCGCGGGCAGCGGAGGGCGGGGACTGGCTGCACGATCAGTGTGCTGAGTGCTCGATAGACACCAATGCCTTCCTCCCTTCCAAAGGGCTTTACTTACCTTTCTGCACGAAGCACGCCGCTGTAGTAGGGGGGGTCCCACGGCATTAGTTCCTGCAAGGGAAGAACCCACTGTTACGGAAGCTGCTGACTATTTCACAATTTCCATCAACAGTTTAGCTAGCTCATAAAATGTAAACCTGTTTTTAAATCAGAAAAGTCCTAGGATGCCCTAAGAATTCACGACTGGGCAGGAAGCAGCGGCCCCTTTATTTCAGTTTCCTGTGATCAATGCGCAGGGAGGCCCGAGTGAGGCGTGATCCTGGAATCCGGGGGAAAGGTAAACAGATGTCATGCTGAAATGTAAACTAATGAGAGTCAACATTAATAGATTAAGCCAGCCATGTTGAAGTTGCTCCCAACATGTAGCCCGTGCACTAATCCATACAACATACTGCAGGTAAGATTAGTGTACTAAGGCTGAGATTAGGTTCTTTCTATCCCTAAGCAAGAAGCTTAGGGTGGATCCCCAAAATGAAAGCAACCATTTACAATGTAACTAAAGCAGAATTAACTCTAATCTTGGCAAAGAAAATATGTCACAGAGAAACACTGCAACAGTAATTTCCATGACAGCTGTAAAGAGCACTGACAGGGAGAGAGCCCGAGCCCCTGAAGGATCACGCCCCCACACACTGTCGCCGACAGGCGGAGGGGGTACAAGGCAGGGCGCACAGTCAGCCTGCTCAGGGTTGCCTCCTGGGTGACCGGACCTCGCCCAGAGGGGCCCTGTGCCCAGCTCCTGGGACTCCCCGCCCTTCACCACACTCTGGCCACAAAGGCCTCCTGGTGGTCCCTGCTTGCACGGCCGCCTCCCGCCAGGGCGTCTACACCTGCTGCGGCCCCCTCAGAGCGCCCTCCCGCACTGCGGTCTCCTCCCACATCTCCTCCCCCGTCTCCGCTGGAGGTGAGGGTGCGGCCCAGCACCTACAGAGAGCAGCCGCAGCCGCCATCTCCTCGGCGCTGTTCTCCCTGTAGCCATGGTCACCTCAGGACACGGTGCGTGTGTCCTCCCCGTGTTTCCTGTGGTTTCCTGCCCCAGAACGGAAGCCCCGCATGGGCAGCAGGGGCCTTGGCGGCACTGTTCCCGGCTACGTATGCCCCGGTGACACCCCAAGTGTGGCCCGAGACTCTGCATCCCCCCCCCAAAGCTGTGTGCTGAATCAGCAGCACCCCCAAACAGGGCCGCTGAGTGCGCTGACTGTCCGGCCAACCGCCCGGCGCTGAGGAAGCGCTCCGCACGGCACGCGGGCACGAGGGTCCAGGACGGCTCCGCCAGGAGCCGGGCGAAGGCTGGGAACCCAACCTGGCAGCCACTGTCGCCAGGGGAGCAGTAACGACGGCCCCAGGCAGGGCTGTGGCACGCGCACTCAGAGGAGGGGGCCATGGGCCGCAGCCTTGACAATGACTGTGGGGGTGGGGGTGAGGCCCAGGCTGCAGGCCCCCAGACTCACCGGGCCTGGCGCGGGGCTCCAGAGTCCCCACTTCTGCCCAGTTCCCGGGGGCGCCCCCCTGTGGCCAGATGACATGCACGGAGAGCCCCTGGCCCAGGGCGAGCCCAGGTTCTGGCTCGGGGAGTGGGGTGAACGCGGACTCGGGGAGGCCGCCGGCCGGAGAGCCTGCACTGGCGCCCACACAGGGGTGTCCGGGGAAGGCAGTTTCGCGTCGCATGAGCTCGGAACCGACTAGCTCCCAGCGGCACGTTTCACGTTCCCTCCTCCGATATCCCTCCGAGCAGTTCTGACCCACCACCCAGTCTCCGAAGTCGGCTTGCCTACCGGGCCCGAGCGGGCACACGACTAGTTCCTTGGCTGGGCACAGCCCCCCCTTAAATTCGGACAGTGGCCTGCTGCTCCGGGGACGGGGACTTCGGCGGGTTCGTCTAGTCCACGGTGGCAGCACCTGGGAAGCTGACACACAGCCCCCAGAGGAACAGCAGAGACAGCCCCAGCAGTCCGGGGGTGCCCCCAAGGTCCTCACGCTGGGCGCCCCCTCGCTCCGCGGGCGCCCCACTCCCTGAGCCAGCACCCTGGCCTTCAGGACGCGTCAGTCTGCGCTGTCAGGTCAGGCGGTCACTCGATGTGACAGGAAACAGCACGTGTCTTCAGGGCAGGTGCACGTCACCAGTCACCTGTGTGTTTGCTCCCACAGGCAGCGCACACGCGCGTGCACTGCGGCACTGACACTGGTGGCGCCGACCGCCAGCCTCCGCCAGGCTCCGTAAAGGCCGCACCACACAGAGCAGCCCAATTTCTGCAGAAAGGCAGCAGTCTCTGCAGGGGTGTGTGTCAGTGCAGTGTCGATGCACATTTACGTGTGTGGGCGCGTGCACACGCGTTTCATGCCGACTGACACTGTATGCCGAGGGGCCTGGGGCATGTGTGTGCATGTGCACGCGTGCGTCACGCTGACAGCAGGGTGTGCTGCGGTTCCTGGGATACGTGTGTGCGTGTATACACATGTTCCTGGGGCCGTCGGACCCAGACGTCCGGACCAAACGCTCCCGTGCCCTTATCGCCACGGCGGAGGGCTGGACACGAGACCACAGACGCCTTCGGTGCGTCCCCAGAAGTAAGTCCCCGAGTCGAAAGACGATGACCTCAGCTGACTGTGTGTGTTATTAGTAGACACGCCCCGACACAGTCACTTACCGAATTTTGAGGATTTAGTTTCATTTTCATCCCTCGCATCATCTCAAAATCTTTGGCAGTTCTGTAAAATAGGTTTGTCATTCATCGTCATACAAAATTTGAGCAATCGTAGTACAAAAAACTAGGTGCTTATGTTACTTTCCAATGCTCATAAAATCAGAAGTAATTTGTAATGCAAATAGAAACCAGTATTAATCCCAAAGTACACGTCTTGCAAGTACTAAAGCTTAGAAAAATTAGCGATATAACAAACATACAAAGTATTACCATGTTTTTTGGACTATAAGACCCCCCACCCTGCAATTTGGGAGGAATAATGGTTGTTAATGCTGCTGTTGAGTTCTGTTTACATTTACATTGGTGAAATATTGTGTTATTTATATTATTAAATATTTATCACATTTTTTGCTTCAAATTTTTTCCATTTTCCTCCTCTAAAACCATGGTGCATCTTATGGTCCAAAAAACATGGTCATCTACAAACTTTAAATACCTACTTTTTGCTATATCTTAAAAAAGTAAAAATCTAGCATATTACTTCCTATAAAAGAATATTAACATAGATTATCTTTAAGACTACTACTTATTATTTTCCCTACAGAAAAACACCAGCTGCACAATAATCAAATGCATGCTTAATATTTGTGGAATATGAAGTTTCTGTTAGAATTAACTATACTATATATAACTGTAAAAATCTGAGGATGTTTGCTCAAAATATAAACTACATACAAATACAGAAAGAATACTAACACTTAACCAACAAAACAAAGTAGAATAAATTTTCAAGTAACTGCATAATTAACACTTCCTCTTCATTATATCAAAGCCATAGTTATTTGCTGGGTTAAAAATAAAAGTTTAGAATTAATAAATAAAATCCAAATTAGAGAGGATTAGAGAGGCAGGAGTTTAGAATAGAAAATGGAAATTTGAGCTAAAATTCAACATGGTGGTGTAGTCAAAAAAGCAAACAAAATTTTAGACAGCACTTTAAGAAATCAGAGAACCTGACCCTCTTTCTCTTTTGCTAAATTTCTCGGGGCGACACTGGGTAATGAAATGATACGGGTTTCAAGTGCACGATTCCGTCACACCCCATCTGTGTGTTCGGGGCCTGCTGACCAGAGTCAGACCCCTTGGGCACCACGGATTTGCCCCCCTTTACCCTGGACTTCCTCCTGCCACCCCCTTCCCTCTGGCAACTGCCACACTGTCGTCTGTGTCTTATGAGTTTTTAACTGTTCGTCTTGTTTGTTCATTTACGTGCAGCTTTCTATCCCACAAGTGAGTGAGGTCACACGGTCCTTTTCTCCGGAACAGGGCCCTCTCAGACAACCCACCGCAGGCCCCTTCCGGGGACGCAGGTGCGCGACCCCTGTCGGAGCCCCGCCCTCTGCGCAGCCCGGGAGGGGAGCTGGGGAAGGATGGCGGAATGACACAGGCTCGGCCAGGCTGGGCGACGTCGCGGGGGTGGGGTGGGCGTGACCGGAACACAGGGACTCGCCGCCAGAGGCGCGCACTTCCGCCTGGAACCGCAGCCGGTGCAGCAGAGCATCCTCGAAATACAAGAGAGCAGAACGCAGGTCTCCGGCCACTTCTGTGCATGGCCAACGTTTAGGCCAACGGGAGAAAAACACTACTTTCCGAGCTTGCCATAAAATTGACAGTACAAACGAAAACACACAGTTTCGAAACCAGTTGGGGAATTTTTCCACTGCCCATCAGCGATGACCTCCTGAAGACCGGTAACCAGAGGGGCTGGCCGCCGCCCCCTAGGCCGCTGCCACCCGGGAGGCCGCGGGGTGCGTGCCCTGGTGGACTGCGTCCTGCCCGCAGTCCCAGGACCCGAGCCCCTGTTCTGGCGCAAACGCCCTCCGCAGGCCACGCCCTAACACTTGTGTGAGTCAGGTCCTCAAAAGAAAAGCCCAGAAGACAAACAACATCTATTCTAAAGAGCTGAATAAAAACTAACCTTTCTGAAAGTTTGTCAGATAGTTTCTCAAGGAACTCCATGACAGTCTCTAAAAATAAAATAAAAAAAAATATCTTTAATTACATAAAAAAATAAATGTACCTGTGAAAGTTATGATGTGGTGATCATTATTACATACTACAATGCACTCAAATTGATGATTTTTAAAGAGAAGGCAGCACTGCTAACATATACTAGGCAAGTAATAAATATTTCTAGATAACAATAATCTCTTTATCAGAAAAACAATTCAACCAACACAGTAATAATCCAAAGTCTTAGATTATACCTCAAAATGAAAAGAGTTAATGGGAGACTAAAAAGAAAACTTTAAATTTCAAAGTGTTTCTATCTATTTACATGTGTAAGAAAAGAAGTTTCTTGGACATGCCTAATTTTTGCTGAGTTTTAAAGAGACAGCGAGACTGACTTGTGGATAAAATTCAGTCCAGTCTGGACTCTCAAAGCCAGCCCAACAAGAACGCAACACCGGTAACGCCCAGGCGCCCGAGGCAGGAGCACCTCTGCCCACGGGCAGGCACCACCGGACACGAGGGGGGAGCGGCGGTGCCGCGGGCACCGCGGAGCACCCGCACCCCGGCGTGGGTGCAAGGCGGGCCACCCAGGCGGACTGCTGGCAGAGAAGCAGTGGCCTTAACCCGCAGAGGAGATGAGATTGCCTCCGCAGATACTTACAGAGCATTCCACAGAAAACAGAAAAAAACACATTTTTTTCAGGTGGACACAGAACATTTTCCAGGTTAGACCATGTGAGGCCACAAACCAAGTCTCAGTACATTTCATAAGACTGAACATATATCAAGTGTCTTCTCCAGTCTCAATGATATGACACAGGAAATTAAGCTCTAAAAGAAAACTGGAAAAAATACAAAACATGGAAGCTAAACAATACACTATTCAATAATCAATGACTTAATGAAGAATTCAGAGAAAATTTTTTTAAAAAGTATCTGCAGACAAATACAAATGGAAACACAATACCCAAAAACCTCTGGGCACAGGAAAAGCAACTCTGAGAGGAAAATTCATAGGGATACAGACCGGCCACAACAAGGAAATAAGGAAAACCTCAAACAATCTAAACTTATACCAAAAGGGCCTAGAAAAAGAAGAACAAAGCCCAAAGTGAGTAGAAATAGACTAATAAAAGATAAATAAAAACATCAACAAAACTAAGAACTAGTTCTTTGAAAAGATAATAATAAAACACACACACACACACACACACACACACACACTTTTAGCCAGAGAGAGGTACAAGTAAAACCAGAAATGGAAGAGGAGTAATGAATGACAAATGACACACAAATGAAAAAATTCTCAACAAAACGTCAGCAACCCAGTTTTCGGCAATACACTACAAAGATCACCCACTACAAAGCAGTGGGATTTATTTCAGGCATGCAGGATGGTTCAACATCTGCAAATAATCAACGGGATACACCACATAAACAAAGTAACAAAAACCATAAGATTATTTCAACAGGTGTACAAAAGGTATCGCCAAAAATGCAACATCCAGCCCTGGCCAGTATGGCTCAGTGGACTGAGCACTGGACTGCGAAGCAAAGGGTCACCAGTCAATTCCCAGTCACAGCACAGGCCTGGGTTGCGGGCCAGGTCCCCGGTTAGGGGGCATGTGAGAGGCAACCACACAGGGGAAAAAAAATTCAACATTCATTTATGATAAAAGCTCTCAACAAAGCTGATATAGAAAAAAACATACCTCAACATAATAACGGCCAAAATTGACAAGCCCACAACTAACATCACACTCAGCAGTGAAAACTGAAAGCTTTGTCTCTGAGATCAGGAACAAGACAAGGATGCCCACTCTCACCACTCTTATCCAACATAGTATTAGAAGTCCTAGCCACAGCAATCAGACACGAAAAAGAAATAAAAGGTATCCAAACTGGAAAGAAGTAAAATTGTCACTATTTGCAGAGGACATTATATTATACATAAAAACCCTCAAGATTCCACCCCCCCAAAAAAACTATCAGAACCAATAAATCAATGAAGTTGCAGAATAGAAAAATAATAGTCATAAATCTGTTGTTTCTCAACACACATAACAAACTATGACAAAGAAAAAGTTTTAAAATCCCATCTGCAATTGCAGAAAGAATGCCTAGGAATACACTTACCTGCGGAAGTGGAAGACCCCTCTCTACGCTGCAGACTAGGACGTCAGTGAAGGAGACTGAAGATGACACGACACAGGGAAGGACACCTGTGCTCACGGACTGCGAGCATTAGTGCCACTAAAACGTCTCTTCTACTCCAAGCAGTCTACAGATTTGATGCAATCCCTATCAAAACACCTGTGGCATTTTTTCACAAAAATAGGACATTTGTTCCTGAAATTTATATGAAACCACGAAAGACCTTGAACAGACAAATCACGAGAAAGAAGAACTAAGTTAGAGGTGTTATGCATCCTGATTTCAAACTGTACTACAAAGCCATAGTAATCAAAACAGCATGACGCCGGCAAAAACCAGACATGTAGATCAGTGGAACAGAACAGGGAGCCCAGCAGTAACAACATACTTATATATGGTCAGTGAATCAGTGACAAAGAAGAGAAGATATATAATGAGGTAAAGACAGTCTCTTCAATAGGTATGTTGGGAGAACTGGTCAGGTACAAGCAAAAAAAACAAACGCAGACCACTTTCTTACACCATATAGGAAAACAAACTCAAACTGGACTCAAGAACTAAGTGTAAGACCTGAAACCGTACACCCGCCAGGAGAAAACACAGGCCGTGAGCTCTCTGACGTCAGTCTCAGCAACATCTGGTGGGAAACGTCTGCTGAGTCAAGGGCGACAGCAGCAACAATAAGCAGATGGGATTCCATCAAACTAAAAGGCTTTTGCAAAGCAAACCACCAACAAGAGGAAAGAAAGTATTTACAGATGAACATATTCAAAGAGGGGCTAATATCTGAAATATACAGAACTCATACAACTCAACATAAAAAACAAAATCCAATCAAAAAGTGGGCAGAGGACCTTAACAGACATTTCTCCAGAGAAGACACCAGATAGCAAACAAGTACGTGAAGAGATGCTCAACATCACTCATCGTCAGGAGATGGAAATGAAAACCACGATGAGACGTCCCCTCACACCCGTCAGAATGGCCAGGATCACGAAAAGACCACACGTCACGCGTGTCGGTGCGGATGTGAAGAAAAGGGAACCCCCATCCCCTGGGGTGGGACTGGAAACGGGTGCAACCATGCTGGAAACAGAAAACGGTACGGGTATTCCTCAAAAAATTGAAAATATAACTACCATATGACCCAGCAATTCCACTTCTGGGCATCTCTCTGAAGAAAAGAAAAGCAGTAATTCAAAAAAGCACATGCACCCCTATGTCCACGGCAGCATGGTTTACAAGAGCCAGGATATGGAAGCGACCTGTCCATGTCCACGGACAGAGGCGGGGGGAGGGGAAGTGGTGGCGCGCACACACACACACACACACACACACACACACACACACACGGGAACGAAGCTCGGCCACAGAAGGGAAGAACGCCACGCTGCCGCCTGAGACACATGGATGAGCCCAGACGTTACCGCGCTAGCTGAGATGAGTTGGACGGAGAAAGACCAGACCTGGGTGATTTCACTCACGTGTAGAATCCCCAAACAGACAAAACAAAACAGAAGCAAACTCGCAGACAGAGCACGAGCCGAAGGGAGCCAGGGGTCACAGGGTCACAGTAACCAGGCATGGCGACAGACGGTCACTGGACTTGGCGTGGTGATCACTTTGTAGGGCGCATAATAACTGATGAATCACTACATTGTACACCTGGAAGTAATGTAACCCGGGATGTCAACTACAATTAAAAATAAGTTCAAAAATATTTTTTTCAGGCTAGAATCTCGGCTCCATGAAAGCCGCGTTTTGCCATGAGAGGTGGCCACGCAGGCTTACCCGGGGTCTGTGCTATCGTCCCCCGCAGAGCTCTGTGCGAGTACGTGGGGTACCCGACGAGCCGCGCCAGGCGGTCTCTGCTGCTGAGCAGTTCTTCCAAACATCTCAGCTGACTGGCGTTGGGGTAAAGAAAAATTTTGTAAGCAGCTTCTCGCACCTATATTGGAACAGCAGACGATAAAAGGTGTAAATACCATAACACAAAGTCCTGTGCAATAATGCAGGCTCACTCTCACCACTTTATTCTGCAGGTGATCATTGCTATAAAAACAAAATAACGGTTTGCACAAGGTGAATAAGCTTTGAGACCCGTGAGCCAGTACGAGGTGCAAGAACACGCTGGACAGGAGTGCTCTGCTACGGGGTGTGGTCAGACGAAGTGAGCCCAAAGCACCTACCACAAGGCACCTTGAACCAGGGAAGTGGGGGCCAATGGGCATTAAGAAGTCTGGGCAGTCCAGAATGCCGACAACTGCTGTTATTTATCATACTTCAAAAATGAGTTCTTCATAACACGAGATTAAACCACTTTCATCACTCAAAGCATTTATGGAATTAGTAATCCCAAAGTTCAATTTTTAGGGCTTAGCAGCAGCAAAGTGATCCCAATGGTAGGACCGCGTCATCACGGAATCTGGGGTACATGCAGCAGCAGCAGCAGACGGGACCCGAGCCGCAGAGAGAGCGGAGCCCCCATACCAAGTCATCCGGGGCCTCTGCGTGCAGCCCATCCACTACGATGTGGTCCCCGGCAAGAACAAAGTTCTGGTGAATGTGTTCCGGTAGGAGATGCTTCTCTATCTTGGTGGGCAAGTTGGCTCCCATGAGAAACGTGCTGCTCAAGTCCAGGATTCTCACGTTCAGGTCCACTGCTCTTCTGCGCTGTACGTGGGGGCAGTGAAAGTTACTGCACAGCAGTTAAAGTAGAATTTCATGACTAATTTAATAGATAATCTATAATGATGGCAACTCAACATTAATATCTGAATTACAATTTAATGATACTAAATGCACTAAATAAAATGAGTACTGAATACATTAATGTCCTAAACATGTGACATACTATAACATATTAATTCTGTTTTTGAGAGACATTTAATCTCCAGAAAAGGTTCCCATGCTTTAAGACTCACACGACTTCTGGAGTTCTATTTCATGTCTAGGTTAGGCAACTGATCTTCAAAATTAACAACACTAGCAAGTACAGAATCTTCCCTTATCCCCCAAAAGACCTCTTAGTGAAGAGAACTAGTTGAATCCAGTCAATACAATGCTTAAAAGTACTTTTAGATGAAAAGATTAAGTATTTGAAAGGCAGGTGAGAAAATACACTCAGTCTTTGCAGATTAGACTAAAAGGTGGGGGAAGAAAAGGAACTATTGCAATTCTTCACAAGAGTGTGGAGAACCTCCAGCAGGAGGGCCCCTTAAAAGCTCGGACTCGCACAGACTAGGGTGTCTGGGGAAGGATGGCGCCTCAAGGTCAGGGCCAGGGCTGCGCGCTGTGCCTGGCCGGCCTGGCCCTCACTGTCCAGGCCTCGGGTGGCCACGATGATGAGAGGCTGGTGTGGGCACACCTGTGAGAGTTTTCTATCTCACAGTCGCACCTTTAGGACACAAACCCCCTGAGAAACCAAGTATCAGTAAAGGGCAACGCAGATGTTCCGGGCGAGACATGAACTGCGGGGAGGTGTGCGGGAGGCCAGGGGTGAATTCGCGGTCGCTGCCCCTGGCAAACCGGATGGGTGTCGGGTGGGAGCGCGGGCGAGTCCTCCTGGGCCCGGCGTCAACAGTGACTAGCAGGTCCTCAAGTCTACCGTGATTTTAACAAATGATTAAGCAGCACTATTTTTTAAATAAATATACAAGGTGCAGATGTGCACTGATAAGATGCTAAAAATTAAGTATGTATTAATAACCCCCAAAATTTTCGATATAAACATTTTAAACTTCACGTGAAAACAATTTTTCAGATTTCCCACACATCTTTTCTGTCTACTTTGTTTCTTATATGGTCCCCTAGCACCACCTAGTGGTAACAAGTAGAATAACAGAAATGATCAAAGAAAAATTCCAGGGTTGTTGCAAAAATTTTCCCCAAAAGCCATTATCATGAAGGTAAAAAACGACAAAATTAATTATTCAAAAGTATTTGTCATCTGTTGAGATTCCTGAAAAGTAAAAACTGGGTTTACTTCCCAACTTCAACAATCGGCTAAGCATTTCACCATCCGGAGATAATTAAACACACAGTTCTCTGAACTCTGAGATGCCTATGAAATTATTGTTATCTATTATATAATTGCTAATAAACATATACGTCCTTAATTTTAAACCTGTAAATTATATTCAACGAGAACTTTCAAATTAAATAAGAAAAAACCCCAGAAAGAATATAGAAAGACTATATGTACGCCTTTACAATTTGTAGCTACTTGGGTTTATTTCACGGCTTTCCTTGAAAGAGTGCAACATGCCCTCCTCCCGCCCTGCCCTGGTGCAGCGCCTTTGAGAGTGGCACGGAAGGTACGGGAGGAAACTCAGCAGGCCGGCTCTCCTGGCACCCCTTGTCCTGTCCGTGGGGTCCCAGGGGTTACTCCTCGGGAAGGGCAGCTGTTCTCGTACAAACATACGAGGAAAGCAGCAAGGTCAATGCTAGTGAAACTGACCTTGGCCTGACACACACTACCTTCAAGTAAAGTTTCAAAAACATCCTTCATGAGGACTAAACAAGGTAATAACGCTACCCAGCTGCATCTTTCCTCCTGAAGCTGCCCAAGTGGACTGCTACTAGCTGGCGTTGGCGGGACTCATTCTGCACCCACGCCGTGTTGCACTGAGTCTGGAACTGGCAGGCACTAGAGCCACGGCTCACACTCTCTGCCCCTGACAGGCCTACAATGCAGACAAGCGATGCAGTAACAGCACCAGCAGGGCTCCGAGCAGCTGCCACCGCCGGTAAATGCCATGTGCGTGGAGTGAGTAAATGCACGTTCCAGTGAACCCGGGGGACTGACACAGCAGCTTTGCAGACACCGCGGGCAGAAGAGGGAGCTTCGCCAGGGAAGGCCGGCAGGCTGAGCCGGAGAGCATGCAGTGGGGACACAGGACGGCGGGGGGAGTTGGGGGGATCACGGGCCCACCCGCACCTCCTCTGAGGCCCAGGGAGAGCGGGGCGGCCCTGCGTGTGCCGGTTGCTGTTTGGACTCTCACAGCAGGCGACGTGAAGTCGCTGAGAGGCCTGGGCAGGAGGGAATGGCCGAGTTGGGGCTTTCAGGAATGTCCCACCGTTCGCAGACAGGACGCGCTGACACCAAGGGGGCCCACTGGAAGGACAGGCTGGGCGGCCTCCAGAGCATCTGACGTGCAGGGTGGGCAAAAGTAGGTTCACAGTTGGGAGTTCATAAAACACAGCGTTTTTCATGTTGTTATGTATTAATGATTGTATTGCTTTCCACATGAACAACTGTGAGCCCACCTCTGCCCCATCCTGTGTGTCATAGGCCACCAACTAGCTCTGTGACCTTGTGTAACTCCCGCAGCTCCCGGGGGTCTCAGTTTCTCATCTAGGAAACAGGAATTAACAGCAGCATCAGCCGTAACAGAGGTCCAACGAGAAATGTGTTTTCAACAGCAAACGCTGCATCGCTGTTGACTGGGAGTGTCAGGAAGACACAGGCCCTCAGGACAGCCCAGAGACTGGGTGATGGGGATCAAGGTGAGTTGTTTCGGGGATGCAGACAGGTGCGGGAGGAGCTCCATGAGGGACCTGGCCACCGGGTAAGACAGGAGAATGCTGGGAAGGGGAGAGTGAGAGCGGGCTCAGAGAGCGGGGCACCACCGGTGCGGAGACACGGGCACTGGCCGGCGGAGGGACGGGGCGGCCGTGCAGGCCGCATGAGTTCGCAGTGCAGCCGCTCCGCCCAGTGGTGCTGGGAGGGCATGTGTGGCTGAGGGTTCGGCCACAGGCCACAGACCGAGTCCTCAGGGCCACACACACACATTGGTGTGTGAGTGGCCCCCAGCAGGCTCAAACCCAGCACCCACCAAAACAGCAGTGGCTATGGCACGTGCCACGCACCCATGATCCTCCAATGAGGGGTCTGGACGGTATACAGGATGATGTCCCTCTCATCCCAGCTCGAACCCCGCAGGACCCCCGCACGCTGCTGCAGGGACTGAACTGTGCACCCACCGGACACGCCCGTCATGCGAGGAGGTCTCGGTGACGCCCCTGCACTGCACCTCCGGATCTCAGTCTCCCGGGGGGACAGCTCTCCGGCCCACTTGCCTGGTCTTTCCCGACGCTGCTCTCCCACCTGATCCCCAGACACCTCACGCACCCTTGCTGTCTGAACCATTTTCAGTGCGGAATTACCGCGGCCGAGGGGCCAGCTTCCCAAGAGCACTGCATTCAAACCCCCCTGTCGGAGAATTTCATGATGTACATGGCCCAAGAGGCTTCTCAGATGCAAATTCAAGCTGCACTGAGGAAATGTGAGCGGAACAAGACCCACAGCACAGGAAGGCGAGCTTTACCTCTTCTTTGTCGAGATGGATTCCGCTGATTTCAAAATCAAACATGAAGAGCTCAGCCACGCGCCTGGAAGGAAAATGAGTGCCGGGTTATAACAGGTAAGGGTAATTATCAACAAGACAACCATTTTTTGCTAATAAATAGGCCTTTCCCAATCTTACCGACAAAAGGCGGGATGTTTCCCCCCACGCACGCACTCACGCACACAAGACCCGCAGCCCAGCGGGTGTCTAAGCTCCGACGTGGGCGGCCGTGTCTTCCCAGCGCGCTGGCCGCACCGGGCGCGAAAACTGAGCCGAAGGAGGGATGGTCACTCCACTGAGGGCAGGTGTCTCTGCCGCCGTTTTCTAGAGCACCTGGGAACCTTCCTCGGTTCCCAGCACCTCGGCTGTCTTCCCTTCAAACGGCGCTCGCTGCCTACCGGGTGCGCCTACCGGGTGCGGGGCACCCACTGCGCCCCCGTGCGGCGAGGACGTGCGGCAGCTGCGCGAGCCCGCGCCCGGTCGGACTGGGACGCATGCGCAGTCTAGCAGGTGAGGGACCGCAGCTGCACTCTAACCTGACCGGGCTGCGACTGCCTGTGTTCCGCAGGGCGTCACCTCCTAAGGGGATGAGTCCTTTCCAGACGAGTGAGCGAACACAAGGTCGAAGGAACAATACATTTCTTAACGGGGATGCGAACGGAGTGTCTGCTGAGCTCCAGGAGGGACGTCGATAATGACCTAATGACCGCTCCCTGGCGGCCACACTGAAAGCACCGCCGCCCAGCCCTCCTTCGCTGCTGGAGAGCAGGCTCTTCCTGGGCTCCAACCCGCCCTCCGCTTCCCCGGACGCTAAGTTTGCTGCCGCCTTGGCGGGAAGACCCCTCACAGTGTCAAGACTTACTATGAGCATGCTTTGTAGAGGTCACTCTCGATCGGATCGTAAGGTGCAGCGGCAAACCGAAAGACAAGGCCGAGTTTCCCTAACCTTCCCTTAACGCCACGGCTTCATCGGAACGTCGGGCAGGAGCAGCGGCGACAAGGAACCACGCAGGGGAGGGGTCCTGGCAACCCTGCGGAAGGGGCCGCTGCCCAGGGCCCCCCCCCCCTCCCCGCACTAGTTCACACTTGCAGGCACACTTTCCCTTCTGCACTGCACGCTAACCAACGCCACTCACTTACGCATCAGGAACCGGGGGGATAGAAACACTGGGTGTGAAGGAGCAGCACACGGGAGAAGATGGGTGTGCACCGAAGTAGGGGACCCTCGTGCTGCGCCCCAGAAGCTCGGGCTGGGCACCCCGCTCTCCACGTGCGTGGGAAGGGAGCTGAGGAGCCTGACCTGCAGGAGGCCACGGGCTAACCGATCTCATCCAGCATGACCCCAGACATCCCGGGGCCAGGAAACGGGCGATGTCCTGCAGGCGGCTGTCCCCCTCACCCTGACCACAGCCCCCGCTGACGGGCCATCTCCGCTCCAGCCCTGCACGCCCGTGAGATGACCTCTCCCAGACGCGGCGCCTCCGCTCCACTGGCACTCGTGATTTCCACCTTAAACACCGTGGGGCGGACACTCGCGTCTTTACGAAGTCACGGGGCGAGAGGCCTTCACTGCACAGCCAGAAGTGCTGTACGTGGGCATGTAAGTACAGCAAGCAAAGAAAAAACAACAAACAGTCTCAGCCAACCAATGTTTAAACATCAACATGTGTAATGCAAAACAAGAGAAACTACTGTAACCTCCTCTTTACGTGTGGGCCTGTCCCTTTAATTGCAGAGCACAGATCTGTGAGGCCGCCAGGGCGATCACTGCAGCTCCATCCAAACCCCAGTAATTAAAACCAAACAGTTCGTACTTGGACAATTTTTCAAAGGCCTCTGCGTGAGATTTTCAGTTTTTCTTCCAACTATTAACAGCTACTCAGAATATTAGACCCTTCGAGGCTGTGCTGCAAGCTGTGGTTCTTGGCTAATGAGAATGGTTTTCTTTTTAATCCTGCTGCAAGCCTGAAACCAATTTCGAGTGTAACACCTCTTTCTGCTGACACTTTTTTCCTATTTTTCTGGAATGACGTTATCCTGGTATTTGGTCTACTCTTCTGGCTCTCCTGGAGTTTTCATAAGCGACGTATTTATCTTTCTGATTATCGTGCTGATGGACCCTGAACGAGCGGAATTACACGTCTAAAATTCTGAAAACTCACGGGAACACATTAATAATCACTACTGAAATTCTTGCAGCATTTTCTTTTCTCAGGGCCATGACGACCACGTTTGCTTACAGAAATCGGCGGCATCGGCACCGTGCCCAGCACACGGCAGGCACTGGGAAATGCCTGCCGGGTTTCTGAGGGGACAGAGGGGCGTGACACATGTCCCCTTGCCCGGAGGGCCATCACCCCCAGGCGCGGGGCCGGGTGGGCTGGGGGCTGGGGGAGGCCTGGTGGGTTGCTGGTCCAGAGACGCCCACGCAGAGGCGGCACCTCTGTCCCTGTGGACACCAAACAGGGGCGACCGGTGCATGGCTCACGCCAACAAGGGGAGCACTCCCTGGCCCCGGGTCCCACCTGCGTTCACCGGGCTGCACCGCTCCCGAAGCGGGACTGAGACCCAGCCACGAGGGCTGCTCCACCCCGCTTTCTCTTGAACACCTGTGTCCCAGACACTGACTGCTTCTCGGCATCTCTGTGCTTCAAAACCACGGCTTTCACTGCTCTTGCCAATCAGGCTACCTAAAGCCGAGGGTCACAAAGTTGTAACAAAGACTGACCGTGGGCACCAGGGCCCATGCAGCGCAGCAGGACCGCCAGCCTCTGCACGCTGGGCAGCCGGGGGACGGCTCCCCCATCACGGCGCCCCCACGCCACACCGCGGGAACCCCAGCGCCCGTCACTAGCGGCCCCCCTCTAGCAGCCAGCGGCGCTGCACTGGGAAACACAGGCCACATGGAGACGGGACGGAGGGGGGGCCGGGGGAGGGAGGGCCGAGGAGTCAGAGGGAGAAAGTGACCCAGAAATAACAAGTAGCTGCGGGTAAGAAAACATGTCGGTCTCCGCGCTGAGACACGAACAATATCCGGGTGGGTTACCGACAAACCCTGCAGCACTTACTGTGTAAATAAGTAACGGGAGCAAAGACATACGCTCTCCAAAGTCCTAGGCCAAGTGTTTCTGTCTATTAACTCAGCAGTGGAGCCTTTTCAGTATAGGTTAATAAATGCCACAAGTCACCAAAGCAAACCCTTTCAAGGCCCTTGGCAGCAGCCAGCAGCCGAGGCCAGTCCGCCGGCACCGTCTGGCGGCGTCCATGACGCGCAGGGCTGAGTGTGAATATCCACTGCTCACGGGTCTCCACGGCCCGGGTCGGCAGCCGCTGCAGCCCCGCACGGGGCAGGTGCCTGGGACGTAGCAGTGACCACCACCCACCAGACCCCTGTTCTCAGGGAGCTTCAGTGAGGCAGAGAAGTGGGAGGTTAGCGCATGAACAAGGTGCTGTGGGGAGAGAGCAGCCCCGAGAACCAAAACCAAGGGGTGAGGGGCGCGGCCTGTGCGGAGATCTGGGAGGAGGCACCCTGGGGGAGCCCCAGCTGCAAGGCGCTACCTGCACAGAAACCCCCGGACGCACCAGGGCCTTCCAGCCCCTCCCCAGCCGCAGGCCCAGGGCCCACGGGGAGACGCGCACCTGGTCTCTGCATCCAGGGAGTCCATGAGCTTTTCATCGGCCAGTAGTCTCTGCAAACTCTGATACAATTCCACATTTGTGTTCAACCTAGAAAAAGCACAAACAAAAAAATTAAATGAGTTTCCAACACCTTCCTTTTGGCTTCACATCAGAGGAACGATGTCAGATTGCAGCCAGAGGCCAGAGGACTGAGGTCTGCTTTTGTCTCTGGCCTAAAACATTTAAACTGACCTTAAACCCACTTAACAGAAGCCACTTCATCACAGCCACGGGGACCACAAGGCCACTGCGGGGAGACACCGCTGGCTTCTCGCCCACCCTGCGGTCCACAGCCACCCGCAGGGCAGCAACGGAACCACGCGGCAGGGGGTCTGGCCACCCCCGCTGGCCCCTGGGGTACGAGGAAACCCCTGAGGCCACAGAGACGACGTGCGGATGCTGGGGTCTGCCATGCTCCTGACCCCATCACGAGCACTTTATATGCAGCATTTTACTTTCATCACAACCCTAGGAGGCGATTCATTTTACCCCATTTACAGACAGGGAGAGTGACGGGAAAAACAAACACTGAGCTGCAAGGCAGGCTGTTCATGCTGGGAAGGGGGGTGCGGCGGTCCGGCCCCAGGTCCCCACCCCCAGGTCCCCCACCCTGCAACCCCGTGCCCACCACCCTGGGCGGCTGCGCAGTATTCACACACCCCCAGCCCCCACCCCGCGGAGGGGTTGAGCCCAGGGAAACCGTTCCTAGAGCGCAGAGCCACGGATCTGCGCTGCCCGGTGCCGTCACAAGGGGGACGGAACCTACTTCTCCACTACGGTGCCGATGCTTCTGCAGGCTTCTTCCGCCGCCTCTCTGAACGCTGGCTCGGGGTGGGCGATCTTCACAAAGTCGGCCTGTTGGAGGGGAGAGAAAACCAAAGGGGCTGGATGGAGGCTCTCTCCCGAGACCTAGGGGCAAAGTGAAACCCGTTTTCACAAGTGCCATCCGGCGGCCTGCGCGCTCCCGTCGCTGAGGCTCTCCTCACGCGTCTTCTTGAACGGCACGTGGCTCTCCCTCGCAACCAACCAAGGGAGTCTCGGTCCGAAGACTTTGATGCTTTCACTGAGTTCCTCTTAGAACAGTCTTTCTCCTGCAAACCTACATACGTGCTGGACAAATGCTTCCAAATTCTATAGTTCCACAAAGTGGCCTCTTGTTCAGAGGTTCTAAGACTCTCTAATCAAACTGGGGCTCGCTGTGGTTCTCAGGTGAGACCTGGCTCCAGAGGACGGCCTTGGAGGTTTTCCCTCGTTTTCACACTGACACACACTACAGGTTCAAGACCCATTCGACGACACCCCAGCTTCCGCGTGGGAAGCAAAGGCCCACTTTTCTCTCTGTACAGCCCCTCGGATGAGCCGGCGCGCCCGGTCCCAGACAGACGCGCACGGCCGCCAGTGCTGGGGAGGCTGCTGCGCTGACCTGGGGCTCAGCCGAGCTGGAACTCCTTCTCTCTTTTTAAAGAACTAACGCAAAAACTAGAGTTTACTTTTAATCTTAACGGCAGCACATTACAAAAGAAAAACATAGGAAAACCACAAAATATTACACATTTTTCCCTTGGTTCTGTAAGAAGAAAACATATATGACTTATAAAATAAAGTCACCACAAGTAAAATTTCCTAATTTTTTATCAAATAAATAGTTTTTAATGAAAAATGCTTAAATACAGTTTTACACAACCATTGATGTAACAATAACGTTGGTACCAGGGCACCTGAAAAATGAGCTATGTAACATTACATCGTATTGTATAAATTACCCATTTACAGTGTTGCAGAATTTACAATCCATATTAAAATTTAAAACACTAGCGTACATTTAAAACTCATTTGCAACAGTGATGAGGAAAACAACACTGTTACATAGCAACTGAACTGAAAAAGAAACCAAACTGGAAAATACAGTTTATAAAATTGATATCTTATAATGGCATCAAACTGACTGGCAGGTAAAAACTTCAAAATTCAAAAACAAAGAAGGTCCTCTGAATTTTTTTTGCCCAAAGATTTACATACATGTTAGTATTTAATGAGATAGTACGCTTCATAAACATAAAAGCCTTCAAAACCGGGACAAACTGGGGCCAGAGAAGGTACCGTCTGCCAGCAAAGAGCAAGGGCGAGCGGTGGGAACAGCGGAGGAGCACCGCGGGGCTCCCCGGCAACGAGCCAAGGAGCAGCTGGGCGGGGAGCCCTGGGGTGTTCGAGCGCGCGAGCAGACCGCACGTAGTGACCGCCGCGGACTAGCGCCCCCTTCAGGCCGCAGTGACACGACCAAGCAGAGGAGGTGCCAGCCCTCCCACCTCTGCGCCGTCCTGCGAAGCACCTGCACACACTTCCTGGGGGGTCGGAGCCGGCGCCCCTTACAGCCCAGACCCACCCCCGGAGCCCACAGTGCGTCCCTGCACCCTGGAGAAGCCCTTGCCGGGGCTCCAGCAACGCCCTCACCCCAGGGAGCTCGCCCTGCCTGTGTGGCCATCTGCGAGGTGTCCCTGCTCGATCTGGGGGTGTGCAGGGAGAAGACTGTCTGAACAACGAAAAAACAAACGCGAGGAGGGTAAAAGTTTTCAACCTCTAAGGTGTGAACGATTCCAAACACCTGACACTTTAGAAGAGACAAACCACAGAGAACAGCGGTGGTCGGAGCAAAGAGGTGAGAAGCCGGGTAACGATAAAAGAAGTTTTGGAGTGACGGGGAGCGTACGCATCCTGGCTGTGGTGGTGGCTGCATGGAAAACGAGCTAAAATCCATAGAGCTTACCACCCCGCAAGTCAAGTTTACCGTGTGGTGTTTTTAAAATACGTAAGAACTTTTTTAGACGGTGGGGAGTCTACCCAACTCCCCAGCCTCTCCAGGTAGGACTCATCGGACCCGAGCAGCTGGCCGCCCCTCGAGGGCGCGCAGGCCAGCGGGTGGTTAGCAGACTGCAGACGGGCTGCCCGGACTCACGCCCCACTTCACTGCCTATGGCTGGCTGACCTGGGACATGTCGCTTGGCCTCTCAGAGCCTTCCTTTGCTCATCTGAAAGTCAGACACGGTGAGAAGGTCCAATCACCTAATCCAGGTGGGCGGTTACCAGGGCTCGTGCCTGGTGAGACCGAACAGACAGCTGATGCTGGATGAGGTCAGAGCCCGCATCCCTCCTACTCACGCCTGTGTGCCTACTCACGACTGCAGCCGGCCCGGGGCGGGGCCCGGTGTCAAACGGACGTGAGGGGAGGGGAGGGCTGCACACAGCCCAGCACCGGGCGCAACAGCAGGCCTCACCACGAGCCCGCGTTGTGGGCCCCTTCGCTGACACGACTGATCAGGGTGGGACCCTCCCGGGTCTACTGCAGGCCCCGCCTTCTGTCTCGGCGGTGGGTTTCCCAGTGGGTGAAGAGACCCAGGTCTATTTCTATTTGAACTTCAAAATGTTAAGGAAAAAAACTCTTTAATATGATTGGTTTGATGTTAAAATCTTACTTTTAATTGCACAATACATTCCCTACAATGTTTATAAAAACTTTTTATAAGATTAACTTGATTGCAAGTGAGCAGATAATTTATTAGAATTTTGGTTAGACGTTTTCATAAATGAAGAATCTTTGTCATACAGAAAAACGTCATATGAGTAATTCGTCTTTTATGACATATTACATGTATATTTCATTAAACATATATCTAAAAGTACAAGTTCTAAATATCCCCTTTGCCTACGTTTTTCCCATTGCTAATGACGGACTTCACTGTAACAAACGACACCCAACAGCTCTCAAACAGTGCAGACATTTTTAACCTGACAGTCTAACATGAAACCCCGTAAACCTAATCAACTGCCCCCAGTTCGGCGGAGAGGGAGTTTCGGGCGTCCCGGCGAGCCTTACCAAGTCCGCCACCCGGCAGAGGGCGTCGGAGAGCTCGTCGAAGATGCGCACGGTCTGCGGCCCCGGCGGCGTGGAACACGCGCGCGCCACCAGCTGGTCCGTCTTTCTCAGGGCGTTTTCCTGCGCCACACGGAACCCTTCTGGGGCGCTGAGCTCAGGAACTCCAAAAAGACCCTGAAATTCAACGAGTATTCACAATTTATTATTAAAAATATGACCTTTTATAAGTATGTATATTTTTTCATAAAGAATATCTTGGGTTTTGCAGGCTTATTATATATTTGAACACCTGTGATCATAGATACCACTTTCACATCGCCCATGTTTTAAAAGTGTCATTTTTCTTCAATTTTCTATTATTTTATAAAAAACACAATCCAATACAATGCAACGATAAGGGTTCCAAACCAAGCCTGCACTACTACAGAACCTAACTCCAAAGCGCTCGCTTACAAAGCCGAAATGAGAAGACACACGTGCTGGAGAACCAAACGCCACCGAGTCCACCCGCCAGCGCCCAGAGGAGACTGACAGGTGCTCGCTGCGCCCGCCACCAGCTGTGCGACTCCGGCCCTCGCTCTCTCCGCCTAGGCCTCAATGTTTTCCCTGAGCACAGCGGGGATTACAGTGCACACCTCCCAGCTCTCATACAAGCACCGGGTTAGAAAATACATGTCACGTCCTTAAGACACCGTCCAGCACCCAGTGAGGTCCAGTACAAAGCACCGATCGGTTCCACAACAGTACATCAGGGACGACGAGCAGATTATCGAGCACAAAAAGTTCTGAGAGACTGGATAAACGTGATAGACCAAATCACCGGCTGAAACTGGCAGCAAATTCTATCCTTTCCAGAAGCGCTTCACATCCTGATAAAGCCAAAAGCCACTCATCCAACGGGAGGGGCCTTGGCCCGAGCCGGCTGCAGCACGCCTGCCGCGGTGCCCAGCAGGACGGGAGGAAAGGCCGCATCCGCCGCCAGCCGGCAAGTGCGCTGTGTGCGGTACACAGGTTTCTCCCGGGAGCCCCGAGGTCGCAGAGCAGGAACCACCGCTCACCTCTCACGGGTTAGTCAACAGCTTCGGGGGGAAGGAAAAGGCTGAGGTCCGGCATCAACCGCCGCAAAGTCAGAACCTGCGCAGGCCCCCTACGCCCCAGAAGCCCACACCCTCTCCATACTTTTCTGCGGACATCGGTCTGTCTGCTCCCGAGAGGTCGAGTCCGTAGAGGCAGAACCCTGCCCTTCCTCACTCAGCCAGCTGCCCCCCAGAGCGCCCGATACACGGGGAAGTGGGACCAATCGCAGTAATGGAGCGGATGCCGAACTTGGTAAATTACCTTCGCAGGTGCTTCACACTCCGGTTTGGGGGAATACCAGGAGGTGAAACTCTCAGGCCTGAGAAAGCTCACGGATTCCGCAAGAAGGGAAGTGAAGGTGTCCACCTCTCTGCAAACTGCACTAACAAGCTGAAGAAAACAAAGACAGTGGGGGGGCAGAGCAGAAGCAGAACCAAAAGATAAACCTGATCTTCACACCGATTTCATGAGTCAAGTACAGGCCAGTCCCGCTCCCCACGGCACCTGCTGATGCTTCTCTCGGGAATTCCAGATCTCAGACCTCGAGGCGTGGCAACACTAGGAACTACATGAACCTTTCTGTGTTCAGTCAAAAACCAACTCACATAGTGGAAAGTCTGGGTTCAGCACCCACAAGCAAGAGGCGTCCAAGGACAGCGAATCTAAAATCAGTTCTATTTCACCCACCCCCAAACCAAGCTCACTCTTCACTTCCCTCCACTCAGAGCTTAAAATTGTGTTTTCACACCAATTACAGTAACGCCAACATTATTTACCTGCATGGGAGATGGTGTGGCAAAAATCACTTGGAAACAAAGCTAATGGAGATAAAGTTTAAAAAAAAAAACCACTTGGAAACAAAGCTAATGGAGATAAAGTTTAAAAAAAAAAACACACACAGTTTACAGCAACCATATCCTACACGCTACTTTATATGCAAGTTAATGGTATAATGAAGAAACTGTAAAAAGGCAAACGTCAAAGTGAAGCCTAAAACGATCGACACCCACAAAAGCAAAGGAGAACGGGTATCGGGTGAGTCCCTTTCGAGCCTGCCTTCCTTCCGCCTTTAATGCGGCCACTCAATGCAAGCTATTAATTGAAGTCTGAAGCCAGACACCACGCTGGCCGGCGTGGATACAGAAATGAGTAGAAACTGAGGAATTCAGCCAGCCATTTCCTGCAGGCAGAACTCAATGTGACCCACTCCATGGACCTGAAGGAAACTAAGCTCTTCTCAAAAGATCTTTTTGTTTTAAGGAGAGAAAAGAAAAAAAAAAACCACCACAACAAGAGAGCCCAAAGCTTTAAAAAAGTTGATGCAATTTCGAGCATCACGGAATTACTGATGACAGCACTTAAGGCAAGTGTGTTTTTGCAAAAAGAACACGTGACACCGCCTGGGAACTCGCAGGGCCGGGCCCCTCCGGCACGCGCGAAGGGCTGGAGCCCCAGGGAACTGGAGCAGGGTCTGGGCTGCGTGCGAAGGGAGGGCGGGACCGGGCAGACTAAATCACTTGCAAGAGGCGCAGTTTAAAGTTTCCGTGGAGCAAGGGATCATCTGAAGATACGTCCTAGGACCCAAACTGAGATGAGGGGACCCCTAAAGACCGTTCTGCTCCCTTTAACCCAGCCCCTCAAAGAGGTGATCGGCCAGGAGGTCACCAAGAGCGCTAACACCACCCCGCTGTGCAACGCGTGTTCGCAGCCCATCTTCTTCCGGATCCCGCAAAGTCTGCCCCCATCCCCGCCCCGCGGAGAAGGGGACCAGCTTCTCCCGGGTAAACAAGCGGGGCCCCTGCTCGCGCCGCTCACCCGGCGCTCGCCAAACAGGTCCAGGCGGCTGCCCTGGGGCTTGACATTGAAGGCGGCACCCACGGGAGACCAGCTGGTGCTGACCCCTCGGCGCCCGGCGCCCAGAAGTCCCAGGCACGCGCGCCCGGGCAGCAAAGCCGCGGCCCGGGCGGCAAGGACCCCCGACAGTCCCTTACTCAACATCGTGACCCCACAGCAACCCGCACCCCACACTGCTGTCCCACACGGGTGCCTCGCGGGGAGCGGGCGCGGGACGTTTCCAAGGCAGCGGGCCCACGCCGGTCACGTGAGGCCGTCACGCTCCAATCGGAAAGTGCAGCCCTCAGGACGTGAGCACGTCTGCGTGCCTTGGGCAAGAGCGTCGCCTCGCCTCTGGCTCAGCCGCCGCTGCGATCTTGCGCCCCCTTGTGCCTGGAGTCAGGAATGGCCAAGGATTACCTTCCCACCCAGTGACTAAATAGAAATAAGCATTTCCTTTCCTTTCCCCTAACGTCCTCTAAATACAGACCAGAGATAAATCATAAGATGGCTTCTTTGAGCACTACAATGATATCAAAGCTGTCTTTCCGCAAGAAACACATATGCAAAGGATTCTTCAGATAACGGAAATGATAAAAAGTTGCAAATGCATCACAATAAATAATGCAGGTATGTAAACATTGACTCTCAGAAAAACAGCAAGTTACCCAGAATTGGTTTTAGAAATAACTTTCCCCCATTCTCACCTTTTCATGACGATGACAATAATGAGCGTTAATTAATACAGCAAAGTCACCTAACCGCGTCTTCACCACGCTGCACGTCTCCGTCATTCCGCTGAACAGCAGGAAGGCCGTGAGAGAGGTGGCATCGTCCGCACCTGCACACAAGCCATTCAGCCCGGCCTCCTGTCCCCCGCATCCACGCCTGGTCGCCGAGCCTCAGCTGCAGCACAAGGCCCGCGAAGGGGGGTCCTCGGAGCTCATCTAACCCTCTTCCATGTGTGCAATTTTTACCCCGCTTTTGACCCAAGGTCGCTGCACATTCCCGGAGAAAACACTGGGTCTGGCCCCGCGGAGGTGGCCTTGGCCAGGGCAGGAGGGAGCAGGCCCGGTCGCCGTGGGCTCAGTGGAGGAGGGGAGGGGGGGACTAGAGGCAATGCTGTGAGTGACCCTTGCAAGGAATTTTACTTCGAAGAGAGAAGAAATCGGGAGGTAACTGGAAGAAGTGGGATCGAGAGAGTGTTCTTTGGGGGCCCGGTGGGTGGGATGCTCAGGAATACGGACGGGGTTTAAGGAGCGAGGCTTTTGCTGGATCAGTCCTCCGAGAGACTCGGAGAACTGCGCTCAGCGGGGCGCCTGTTCCCACCCGCTCTGCTTTCACGCCGCGATGCGGCTTCTCCACTGAGTCTGGACACCGGCACTTTGCTTAACCTTGTCATTTTCTACTGTTTTAACGTCATTTTCTACTGTTTTAACTTTAATTATTGAGAATATGTTTTTACTCTTTAATTAGAGCTGACATACGATATTGGATTAGTTTCAGGCGTACAACATAGTAATTAGATATTTATATAATTTGTGAAGCAATCTCCCCCATACGTGTAGTGCCCACCCACCTGGCACCATGCACAGTTACTAACTTGACTCTAGGGATTATTACTGTATCATCTGTATTGTATTATCTGCACTCCGTATGCAGTACTTCACATCCCTGTGTCTGTTTTTATACCTGGAACTTTGTTCTTTTTCATCCCTGTCCCTTTTTTCACCCACCCCTCTAATTACCCCCCATCTGACAGCCATCAGAACGTTCTCTGTACCTATAAGTTTGTTTCTGTTTGGCTTTTTTGATAGGTTACATTCTATTTTTACATTCAGCTTTTAACTCTTGAGGTAGGAAATGGAAGACAAATCCACAATTCTTATAGGAACTGCCGATCAGAGGTAACGATAAATGTCTCCATTCCACTTTCAACTTGTTTCTCTCAGGCATTAAAAGCTACACTTGAAACGTACTGCTCTTAAATGTAAGGAGCAAAGACACCCGTCCCATTTATGCTTATAATTTATGCACTTCTGGCTCATTACTTGCATCTCTTTTGTCCTCCTCACTGGAAAGCCCTGACTTTTTAACCTGCCCTGCGGGGGGAGGCGGGGCGGGCAGGCCTCCTGCCCCCTGCATGGAGTACCTTGACCTTCTCCAGACCCCAGGCGCCGGGACGTGCTTCTTAAAGCAGGACGTCACGCAGAGTTCCTCGGGTGAGTGCATTAGGGCTTGAACAAAGCAGGCAGAAAGTTCTGTTTTGTTTCCATTCTGATTTCCGAGAACTCACAATCCAGAGAAGGTCAAGGCCTCAGCAGCGGCGGTGGGGGAACAATGATGTCTTCAAGCTCTAGTTTACAGCAACTCTCAGGTTCCTTGGGAGGCTCGAGAGCTGGGAGCCCACACTTACAAGTCTGGGTATGACTGCATTCGCTCTTCCTCTGCTGAAGGCGGATAAGGGGTATTGTAAGTGAGTAAGTCACGTAGAGAGTCCAAGTTTGGGTCTGCCGACCAGCAGATCCTGCGATGAGGATTCAAGGGCAAGTTATTTATCTGGGGGGTCTAGGAGAGAACAGGAGAAGTGGGAAAGTGATCCAAGGATGGGAAGGAAGCTGACAAAGTGAGTGTTGTCAGGCCAGCCACTGCTGTGGTTGATGGTTAGGGCTTACGCCTGAGGGGAGACTTGGCGAGACCACGCGGAGGGTTCACCTCACCACTGTCCCGCCTGAGGGACGGAGCGGCAGGGGCCTTCACACAACAACATCCATCCGTCATCGCGGAGGGCCACCCCGGTTCCTGCACTTCCAGCCTGCCGCTGGCTGAGCAGCCTTATGGGCTATGGATAAGTCCCTCAGGCAGAGAGAGGCAGACGGTGGCCACTTGGCGTCAGTGGGGTGTGTAGGAGGGACACAGAAGATGGACGTTGCCACCGTGCAGGAAGCACTCGGCGCACTTTGCTTTGACCAGGATTTCCAAATCCCAGTCGGGTATGGAACACCTACCTGTTCCTCAGCCCTCTTACACATGTGCCAGGGACCCCAGTTAGAGAACGGTGGGTGCACTGGGGGCACGAATTCCATGCATTCCACAAGAAGCCTTAAGGAAATACCAGCTATTCTAGAACCCCTGGGTTCACCCACCAGGACCCTTAGGACATCCTGGATTTCCTGCCTGCGTCACAAAGGCCAAAGGTGGCTGGTACGGCTGAGACACTGATTTTTAGAATTGGTTTGCATTTCAGTTATTTAAAATCGGAATCGATGTTAGCACTTGTGGCTAGTGACTACCTTATCGGACAGTGCGACCCGAGAGGCAGGCCACCTCCACGACGGGGGGAGAGACGGTCTCTCCTTCCCACAGGAAGGACACAAGGTCAACAGTGGCCCCAGCTGCGGCTGGGGGCCCTCGTGTAAGTGCCAGACCAGCTAACCTGGGGCATGGAGGAGAGACATCAGAGTCAAATGAATGAACAGATTGTGGGCAAACAGCAGCGGGACTCTGATTGCTTTTGTGCCTGCAGCCCCGTTAAGCGTTTATTGATTTCCTCTGAAGTCACCCAGTAAACTCCCTTGGTTATTGGAACAGCTGAATCACAGTTTCTGTTACTTGCAGTTCGGCAGATTCTAGCTTTTGGAGCTCTGCCCTCCCTTAAGGAACTTGCAGAAGAAAACGCCCAGGATCTGGAAGGGCATTTTCTCTCTGTATACAAAAACACGTTCTTGTTTCCTTTAATCTTTAAACATTTCTTAGCATCTTGACACGCTTGAAACACACCCCCGAGTCCTCCAGTGGTCCTCAGAGCCGTGCTCTTGTCTTCCTCTTCGTGCAAACATCCGCTGACTCCTCTCACACCAGAGGAATCGTCACAGTATTTTGAGTTGTTTTGGTCCCCCCCTTGATTGTATCAATATTTTAATATGAAAGATTACAAGAAATTGTCTTTTTCAGAGAAAGCAATGACAGGAATTAGAGGGGAAAAAAACACTCACTGGGCCAAAGAGAGATTCTATTTGTTCCAACAAACAGTAATGCTTGTGGCGTGTTTTCAAGAACCACAGAGGGCTGGGCGGATGCCAGCACATGGGGCTGACGGTATTCACAAAGGGGGGCTCTGCTGTATTCACAAAGAAGGGCTCTGCTAAAACTGTGGGGCGAGAAGGGAGGCTGGCCCCAGAAAGGTCAGCAGCCAGGCTGAGTTATTTCATTGCTCTTCAGAAGGGAAGAGAGACCAGAGGTCATTCCTGATCTCTCCTTATGTCACAAAGCCCCACTGGGATGGAACCACAGAGCAGCCATGACCGCTCTCCTCTGTGTGCAGCACAGAGATGCTGGGTGCTGCGAGAGGCCGGGGTTCAAGGTCGGTGTCCCGGGAGGAGGACTGGCTAGCTGCTCCGGGAGATGCGGCATCCAGAAGACAAGAGGATTCTATGAGTTACCAGTCACCGCTGTCGCCAGATTCTACACAGCTTTCCCGTCCTGAGCAGAATTGTTCTGCCTGGTTTCCTACCCAGGAAAGGGAACACCAGTTCTGGAAATGCCTGGGCTCTTCGGATCGTGGACTCCTGCTGTTACTCTTTCATTCCTCCTGGCTTTGTCTGCGGTCCGACCGCTACTGCCTTGGGGATTGATGTCAGAGCATCTGATTTCCTTTTTTTTTTTAAGAAAAATTTTTTTAAATATTTTATTTATTTATTTTTAGAGAGGAGAGGGAGAGGGAGAGGGGGAGAGAGAGAGGGAAACATCAATGTGCGGTTGCTGGGGGCCATGGCCTGCAACCCAGGCATGTGCCCTGACTGGGAATCGAACCTGCGATGCCTGGTTCGCAGCCCGCACTCAATCCACTGAACCACGCCAGCCAGGGCAGAGCTTCTGATTTCTTACCAACACGAGAGGGGAGGCTTGGCTGGGCCCTGCCACCGACCGCGTGTTCCAGGGGACTAACTTGTTTTGCTGTGACAATTAGCTTTTTAGCTTGAAGCAAGAGGCTAAGTCCTGTTTCAGCGAAGGGTATGGTTACTTTAGATGGAGAGGGACTAACAGAAAACAACATGTCCCCGTAGCGTTTCACAGTTCGGGCTGACCGGGCTCAAGAAAACTAGCCATGTACTCACCGTCGGTGACCTTTCCTCCCGGAAGCTGCTCAGGGCCACGCAGTGTGTGTGTCTGTCCCGAGCTCCTGCCCTGCAGGAGTGGGTGGCAGAATGTGTGAGTGCCGCGTCTTGAGGGCTCATGAGTTTGTGGCCTATGGTAGG